GTAAAAAAAAAAATCGCTTTTTTTTCTTAGGCGGGTGGTAAACAGCTACATTACTGATACATTTACCACGAGAACTGCCGATTTAATGTATAATCTACATTTTATATGCATTTTTTTAAAATGACAAATTTAAGTATTTTGTGGGGTAATTCATTCCGCATGTAGACGTCCACATTGACCCGAACTATCGTTACCTTATATACATTATTTATTGCTTATAAACCTACTACGGTATGGTAACGGATTGGTAAATTATACAGACCTTTAACTGCAAACCTCAAGTGGGTGATGTTTAATTGTTTGTTATTCAGTTATTTGCATCTTTGTCGTTTTAGCTAGCCCTAGTTGTATGTATGCAACATTTCTCCCAATGCCAGTATCTAGTATACATAGTGTTGTTGGGACCAGTGTTTTTTCCCCAGACGCCTTGCTCCAGGAGGAGCTTTACAAACACAATAGAACAGAAGGCTAGGCTTGTGTCCGTGTTAAAACGAGATGGCCATTTCTCAACGAAAGAAGCTGTGGCCAATGTGTTATATAGTCCAACATGCAGCGGAGGCTGGCATTGGGAGAAATGTTGCATACATACAACTAGGGCTAGCTAAAACGACAAAGATCGTGCGGCATCAAAACGGCCCCGTCACAACGATCTCGTCAAAAAGAGCTAAAGACAAATTGACCCCGCCATATAGGCTCTCGACAAAAAGGCTCCCGTCATTACAACTCCCGACAAAAGGGCCCCTGTCAAGAAGGTTTCCGTTCTAATTGATGAAATCCACTGTAAACCAGGCCTTCTATCTATATATCCACCCATTCCATAACCCCGGGAGGTTCGTTGAGCAACTCTGTTGACTCCCCAGTTCTTCACAATGCACCCTTTCCAGACGCCTGCTGTTTTTAGTGACTCTGCAAATGACAATCCAGTCCGATGTCATTCGGCCATTTTCTTAATTCTCTCGTATTTCCTCATGGCATTGTGACTCGCATGAATGTCTACAATGGCCACACTACTGATATAATTATTTTTTTTGCTTTGATGATGTTTTGCACGTTTGAAGACTAGTGTGAATTTTATATGCAGATCATAGATCTATAATATAAAAATCCACACGTCCAAACTAGACCTAGAGTACTAATGATTTTACAAGATATGTCTTAACCGATGGACGCAGCCGTTAATAGTCTCCGATGGTTCATAAAATAATAAAATATTTTCAAAACCTAGTGTGGTGTTATTAAAATAAAAGTGGTTATAAAAAAATTGTGATATTTTTGTTGGACTTTAGATTGGATATATTTGATGTTTTAATATTTTTGATAACTAAACAAAATGTCAAAGAAGCCAATATTTTTCTCCCTTATTTTATCACTGAAAATGTAAACTTGGCAGAACTTGGTCACGTGGTTTAAAAAATTATTTTATTTAGGCCTATTATCGTATCGACAGGGTTTTGAGTACAGCTCATTACAAAGTGGGGCTTTCAAAATATAGATCGCTGAGTTCCTGTACAGCCAATCAATGTCTTACGAAAGCGAAACAGGTTATTAGTTAGGCTTGAAGAAAAGTGAAATTTTAGCCTATTGTTTTATACGCAGAAAAATATTTTCAAGTTCTCGGAATCTGCTACCTTTGCAACACTCACAGGCTTAAGTGTTGTTTTTTTTGTCCCACCACCCCCCTTCCCAAAAAAAAACCCATGGTAGGTCTGTTATCCATGTCAACAGTAATGATGAAATCCATCTCGTCAAACTCGGCTGCTTCATAAAACGGATAGAGATATTGAATATGTTAAATATACCAATGCATTTTGAAAAATATGTTCAAATGCTTTTATTTTTTAGACAAGGTCATACAAAATTTCGATCTAGAGATCACTAAAGTTATAACGACAAGTTAAAAGTTGCTGGACACCAAAGTCACATTTCGAGAAATAGATCTAGAGCTATATATTTATTTTAAGAATCAATTACAGCTTCTAGATCTAGATCAAATATAATTTATAAACGAAATTTAGCCTAGATTGGTAAATCTCAATGTTATACCTAGACAAGCCTGTGGTAGGTTAGGCCTAGGCCTATTTTGTCTAGATTTAGGCATATTTAGCCACTACTGCCACCTGTTGAGCGGCCGTTGGTAGTCACGTGACTAAAATATCTCATCAAAATGCTTTTTCTCATTGCGCATGTCTAAACGGTTCTGCTCGTAAGAGAGATTCAAGATGGCGGGAAGAGGAATCTGAACGATTATTTTCATTTCTCGTTAATAATTGTACATTTTGAACGCTTTTCACTCCATTTCGTATTAAAGAAATCTTAAACATTCCAGGTATTTTGCACTTGTCAATAGTTGTTTATTTCCGCTAGTGGAAGTTTGAAGATAGTCTGCATTCTAAGCTCACTTTCACAATGACCTTCCTGTTGTCTGTCCTACCGTAGTCCTACGCTACTGAACTGTCCGTCTAGATCTAGATTCAATACTATAGTTATCTAGACAGTTGCAGGCTATTTATATATGCCGGCTCGATCTAAACTAGGCCTAATGTTTGTTAGGAATTAAGGCCAATTTATGTGCAAAAGAAACCTGTGAAAGCCGATTACTCCTTACGAAATAGGGGCTCTTAGACTTAGATTCTACTGTGAACTCCCCCCCCCCCCGCTTGATTATATAATATTAGAACAGATCTAGATCTAGAACCTACACTAATTTTGAGTGTCTCTTCCTATACTATAGACCAGGGGTCTCCAAACTTCTCAGCCAGAGGGCCGCATTAACTATCAACTAGAGGAGTTTACACTTTTCGGACACACACCAAAAATTACGTAGGACCGAACACTTCGTCGGTTTTTGGCTCATAGAAACTTTAATTAGCATGTCTCACGCGAAACCACGGCGCCTGCACGTAAACTGTTCATTTATGAACACTTCCGTGTCAAGTACTTCCGTTTCCTTTCTCAAGAATTATTTTTAGAAATTTTTTAACGTTGCATGGTACGCACATTTCTATTTTTACACCAGCCGGATGAAGTGACCTAGGGTTGGACTTAGGGGCAAAACTTGAACCAATCAATGCTTAGCTAAAAGGTTACACTATAAATAGCTTCTATATATGTATGGAACATCGTAAATGTCAAGGTTAATGGGTTTTTTCGTGCTTGAACAATAAAAAAGGGGTGTTCGCTAACTTTTTTGACCTTACATGGGATCGGACAGCAACACAAAAATATTATTTAATAAGAATTTAGAGCATAAAAGGGGCTGGTTATTGAAGGGAAAGGGTCAAAATAAGGTCAAGAAGGCAGTGGAATGCGAAAGAGGAGGGGGAATCATGTGACCTGGCTGGCTTAGCAGCGTACTGCGCGAGCCGCAATGGCTGAATGGGATGAACTTTGGGAGTGTGGGAAAAAGGTTTTATACTATTAAAATTACCTCACAAACAATCAATAACACAATATAAATGCATATAATATATGTTTTTATTCATTAAATTGACTTTAAATTATTCTAAATGAACAAAAAGTGCTATGTCCGATGACGGGTAAAGGTGTCCGAACACATGTAAAACTGTATTACATGTGTTCGAACACACGTTAAGACCCCCCAGTCACTATAACAAGAATAGCTTAAGTTCTATGCGTATGAATACAAAATGACACACACATTATTAAAGTAGAATGGTTGCGGATAGATATGATACTTTTTTTTGTTTTCTATGTTAAGCGGTTACTGAATGAGACCGCATGGAATTTTTACGTTGCGTTTTTTCGCTATGTGTGTCCGAAAAGTGTAAGCTCCTCTATAAGTTCAGGGGCCAGAGTTTCTTTAAGGGTCGTGTGTCGTTCCCCCCCCCCCCCCCCCCCCACTCAACGAAATATAATTATATAGAAATATATACAAATTTCAAGTGTCCACCCCCCTAGCCTAAACATTCTATTTTTATGTATGACATTTAAAAATAGTCACAAATCTTTCCCTGCGCCTCGTTTCCCCCAAAAGAGATTTTAATGAAATGGCATTACTGAGGGGTGATAATTTTCACCGAACACCTCATAAATTATTACCAGTTAATTGTAATGTGTGTAAAATTAATGCTTTGAAGTTTATTATTCACATAGTCTGGTTTAATATCGAAGCAGTATTTTAAAGTTATATGATTGCAAAGGTTTTGATTTGCTAAGGCGCCGCTTGCAGGACAAAGAAATTAGTTCAAATGTACACCTGACAATTCTTAAATAACAGACTTAAATAGAAACGGATAGTTCTGTTTTCTAAAATTGACTTTGGCTTCATAATCATTAGTTTTATCCCTCTACCGCTTAGTGAAAGCAAAACTGTAGTAAGCTGTGAGATGGCACGAAAACGCCTAACACGGAAGCTGTAAATCGAACTGCCTACATTTGAATAATTTGGAATGAGTAATTTAAACTACACCCCAAACATAAGCAGGGTATAATGGTCTTGGTAAATTTTGTGAATGCATTGTTTGGCATTTGAACACTCTTTATTTATGAATTCAATCAGCTAAATCGACAAATCCTGAGTTTGAACCCCTGGGTGTATGAGGCTTGCTAGCGCCGGACATCAAACCATTTAGAAACCTTCAAAACATTCAAAACGAAACAACTGCTGTCTTGTAGGGTCTTGGATGTGCAAAGGCTATAGAAGCAAATACTGAAAGAAAGATAGGCTGAAATAGGAGTTGATAGCCTATATGGCACATAACAAGTTGACAGTTAATAATTGTATTAACGAAATCCCTCCCAACATTACAATTAAGAACAAAGAAAAATAGTTTCTTCAGTAAGGTGTTACTTGTATGAATTTACAATCAACTTATGTTGGTTGCTTCTTCTGTAATCTCTATAATGTCCTGTAATAAAAATTAAAATAAAAATATTTTGGTCTTGCTACCACATTGAGCACCTTGCCGAACTTGGAGAAGTAGCTAGACAGGTCATTCACCCACCTTTTGTAAACAAACATTTTATTTTAACTTTCACAGACAACAATGAAAATGGCTTCAGAAAATGGTGATGCATCATCTCCAACTGCTGAACTAACTCTGACAGAAGACAACATGAGCAGCGGTCTTGATGGTGGCTTGGAAGACAATCAGGCTATTGACATTTGTAGATTGTGTGAAGATAAGATTAAAGTGCCTAAGGTCTTATCTTGTTTGCATGAATTCTGTGAAGGATGTCTTAAAAAGAAATATGACAGTGAAAGAGAAGAGGAAGTAAATTCCCCAAGCAGCCCTTTGGCTAAGGAATGGATGATGGACCTTATTAAATGTCCTTTATGTGGACAGAAGACTAGGTTACCAGATAAAGGGATTGTTGGTCTCCTCTCTGATACTGTACTCGAGGATATGATAGAATCTGATTCTGATGAAAAGAAACAGGTGACATTTTAAAATGTTTTTGTGGATATTTCATTTTGACAGTGTAATATTTGTTAATTTTTAAAAATTTCTATTTTATTTCAAAAGAAAATAATAGAAGTGAGATTTTCTATTTGCAAATGTTTGTGGTATATTTAATTTTTAAAGTTGAGTTGCTTTTCCCCTCTTCCAAAATATGCTGTCCTGTTAAAGCATTTGTTTTACATATTCAAATGTATATTGCATAGAGACATTTATATTTTAACAAAATCTGACAAGAAAATGTTAATAATTCTTAGATTGGTTGTACAAGTTGTAAAGCTGGTGACAATGCCATTGCAAGGTGTAGGACCTGTGAAAATTTATTGTGCCCTAATTGTGTAACAGCTCATCAGTTTATGAGGTGTTTTGAAGATCATAAGGTATGCTATTTTGTAGTTTGTTTTTTTAAATAATTTTTGAAATATGTCTGTACATTTATAACCTATACCAATTTTTTTCTTTGTAAATTCATTGTTATTTTAATACTCAGGTGGTTACTTTCGAAGAGATGATAAAGAGTGGAGAAGGTATTGAACATTTAAGAAAACCTGTATTCTGCACCATTCATGGAGTTGAAAGCATTAAGTTCTTTTGTTGTTCTTGCATGGTGAGTAAAAATGTTTTTTTTCTTGTCTAATTACTTTAGTTCTATTTCTGCTCATATGTAGTTGAAATGTGTTATATTTATTAACTAGGTTCCAGCTTGTGGTGAGTGTGTCCAGAAGTCACACAGCAGTCCTGAACACAGTGTAAAACAACTTACAGAAGCTGTTGGATCCAAAAAAGACACGCTTTCTGATTTTACAAAGGAATGTGGTAAAAAACTAATTGATTGCCAGAAGATAAATGCTAGTCTAAATGCAGCCTTCGAGGACCTTGAAATGCAAAAGGACAATACCAAAGGACTTATACAAGAGACATTTCAAAGCTACAAGACCATTCTTGAAGACATAAGGGTATGTCTAAATTTAGGGTTTAAAGTATTAAATACATATAAGTAATTAAGTTTTTTCAAAACATTCTGTTATACATGACAGAAATTTTGATAATCTGTAATTAAATTTTAAGTTATTTTATTAGCCTCCTATGAAGATTTTGGGTCAATTAATTAAAAAAAATTCTTTCACCAGGATTCTTTTTTGAAAGAATTGGACGAACTTCATGAAAAAAGAGAGCTATGTCTAATGGAAAGAATGCATAAATTATCTACTTACGAAAATCAGCTCACTCAGGCAAAAAGTTTTGTTGAGCGCATTTGCCAAAATGGCCATGCAGGTCAAGTTGCACAGCTTCTTCAAACCATGCTTAGTCAGTTGAACAAGTTGTGCATGGGGCTAATAATGCCAGATGTTCCTGTGAATACTGAATTTAAAACTGATGCTTCAGCTTTTGCTTCAGCTGTTAAAGGCACCTTTGGATATTTTGCTCGAGAGAAAAGTGGAATGGTTAGTAAAAATTTAAAAAATGCCTATTTATGATTTAGTCATCAGATGAGTTTCTTTTCATTTGAAATTCTTTTTAAATACTTTTCATCCATCTTACAGAATGGTATGTCTATACATTCGCCTTTTGAACCTGAACAGTTTTCCCTTCCATCCATGTTGAACATCAGTGGTGGTATGATGCAGGTTCAAGGAAGTCAAGAACTGCTTAACCTAAGCAACCTAACTGGTGTTCCCATAAATACTATTGGCATTGGTTCAGGCATGGAGACTCTTTCTATATCCAATGTAATTTCTGGGCTTACTGCTGTGAACCTGGGGCACCATCCAGATGGCTCCACCATCTCGGGCAATAATAGCCCTCTATCTGATAGTGGAATCTCTGTGGATAATGTCAGCCATAGTAGTGGAGGAAATGCAGCTGCAATGATGAACGTAGCAGCAATGGCAAAATTGCGTCAAAGTAATTAGTTTTATGTTCTTATCTATTACAATACAAAGTAATCTTTTAGCATAAATGACCTTTAAAAATTTCTTCGGTTGTATTGACTACACTTTTGTTAAACCTCAGGTCCTCTCTTTGCCTCTGGAATGAGTATTACAGGACCTGGATCTTCTTTGGGAAATGGTGGAAATGCTATTACGTCTGGTTCTGGAGATAATTCATTAGCTAGCATTCTAGGTTCCAACACCCCCGTATCTAGTTCAAATGCAGCCAACGTACAAAATGCTAATTTGGAGGGCCTTGCTTCATTGTTAAATCAGCCTCCACCTACCCCACTAAGTACTTTTTCAAACATCGGATCTTTTGATCAGTTTAGTCCAGGTAAGCTTAATATAAAATTCTTAAATTTTTACCTTAATACATATTTTATGTAGCACTTAAAAAATACTTTACTATTACATAAACTAAATAATGTGATCACCTGGAGGGGTGGGGGTTGTTCAATGTAATAAAGTTGTAATTTTTTTTATTAAACTACATCATTGTAATACACTTGTTATACTTTTTTTTCCAAAGCATCGATCCCTCAGGAACTAGGCTCTCCAAACAGTACTTACAGTAATGAGCCCTACCCGCCTGTGCGACGCACTAATAAAATGAATGCAATGCAGATAAGGTATCTATTTTGCTTATATATATACATATATATATATATTAAAAATCAGTTTTTTTTTTAGCATCCTGTGTTGGCCCATCTATGAAATTTACCTTACACCAGAGTATTCTACTTCATATGATACAGTAGCTTGTATTTTAGTAGCAGTAATTAATTTGGGTCATGGGGAATTTCAGCAGGTTCCAAGGTGGACTGGGCGATACTGAAATTGGCCATTGGGGACCTCAACATAAACAAGTCAATGAAGTTCCGTTAAGGTTGAGATTTTTTTTACCTGCATCCATGTTTTGGTGCTTTTAACCCTGCATCAGCTAACTAGCATATTATATGTGCAGCTTCCCATCTTTGCATGCATAAACTTCACAATTATGATTTAATTTGCTTCATGTAGTACTGCTTGTATATTTTAATTTCCATTAACAAAATATCGAATGGTTAATCTAAAGTTAAGCTTTGATAAATTTGTTGAACTTGTGATTAATGAAATATGAAAGCAATATGACTTAATCCTCTTTACTCCTTTTGGAGCAACCATAACCTTCCATTTTGTCCTGAAACGTCTTCAGTTCATCAAGAAGACTGCCTCCAGGTCTGTCATACTCCTTCACTGAGGGTCCACTCAAGCACATTGTGTGTCACATTTGAGTACGCCATTCGCAGACTATGCAACACCCAGTGCCTCTTCCTCATTTGATTTGTCATGGCCTCCTGTCTTGTCACCTCCATTTCAGAATGATCCATTTGAAAGAAGTTATGTGTAAGTGTAGGCCTTGGCGATCCTTCATAGCTCAGCTCCATCCAACAAAAGTGGGGCTTGACATGCAATCGTCTGATCCATAATGATTCTAAGATTTCCTACGGTTACTTACATCTTTCATTCTGTCCAGTATCCACACTGAGTAGTCACATATTTTTGGCAACTCCTCAAAAGCATAAAGGCTTGGTTATCAAACTGCTTAATTTTGAATTATCTCCTAATCATTTCTAAAAATTTGTCCGATTTCATTTTCAATCAAAATAACTAAAAATTTCAAATAACAGTCCATATAAATCTAGGCTATTTACAGTTGAAGACTTATATTTTTACCATTCCTATTTTTAGTAGAATATAACTATTGGGTGCCCTATCAGACGTAATTTAAAATTAAAAATAAGTACTTCTAGATTAGTGCTGTTTAAAAGTAGCTTAATATTAAAATAAAACTGAATTGCGTTTCTACATAGTAAAAAAATAAATTTTTTAAATTAATACTTTACAAGGCAAATAAAAATTGGAAACCGAAAAGACTTTGTTTTCGAGTAATGGAAACTTCTTTTATTAAAAATATCTATATTTAACAATTAAATAGTACAGTAACGGTATGAGCCTGGTTTAACTGCGAAAAAACATTGATAAAAGACTGAGTTATTGTTTGAAAAAAAATTGCCTATATTTTTTTTAATAAGCTGGTCACATCCCTGGATTTAACATCTAAATGCTTACATTCTAAAAACAAACATAAAACTTGTATCCTGCATGTAAAAAGTAAAATTAAGACGAATGTGCTAATGTTTAAAAAAAAAATAACAGGGTGTAACTAACTGTATTTAAATTTACTCTAACATTGTCACACTTTATGAAACATTCCTCTCAAATTTCTGGAGTGATGTTATTTATGGACGACCTCTAAATAAAAATAGTATCTCTTTGGTAAGCAACTGATGAAGTTAACAGAAATAGAGGTATGAACCCTTGTGACCTATCAATCTTACAAATGCTAGTGTTAATTATTACATCTGAGTACAGAGAATAACACTTAACTATAGCAGGGAATTTTTTTGAAAAGCAGTTGATTGTGGGAACCCTGTAACATTCCCCCTCCATACACATACACAGAGAGAAATTGTTTTATAATTTGCTTGTTTTGGTTGGTATTGTGGATAATCCTTGAAAGCAAAATGTATTTTTACTATAAAAGATACTAATTAAAAAAAAATTCTCTACTCTCTAGATTGTACTTATAATATTAATTGATAGCAATATACTAGTAATATTAAATACGAGAAAAATGGCCCGTTGAGGAAGGATACAATGGGCGCTAGGCTGATAGTGCTGTCTCTTTTCTCTAAACTAAACCCCCCACCCCCCAAAAACCATGTCTACCGTCCCATTCAACGAAATATAATTATATACTTTTTCCAGTGTCCGCCCCCTCCCCAAAAATTCTACCCCCGCCCCCGAAAATTTCAAGTACTCCCACCCCTCTCCGGGGAGGAAAAAGTCTGAAAGAAACACTGGTGTCGCGCTTAGCCACTACCCGAAGAATTGCGTTAAAGAAATTGCAAGAAAACCACTTTTTAGATTAGACACATTAATTAGGCGGTAATTTTATTATAGAGTATTGATGAAGAAATTTCTTTTGAGTTAGGGGGGGGGGGCCTCAGACGTTCTTACGCGGGGGTGGGGCTTCGCCCCTACCCGAAGAATTGTATGAAAGAAACTTCACGCAAACCACGTAGATTAGACAAAATTTCCTTTTTATTCAATGTTTACTCTAGAATCAATGACGTCATATTACTGTGTGCACTCTCCGGCTTGAGATTATTTTCTACTCTGTGCTAAATGTGACGTCATACTTCGTTTTTCGAATTACTATGCATGTTTTTAATTTGCTTGTGTTTTCTCTAGAGCGTTCTTGTCAGATAGACAGACAGCGAAACTATTAGTATTAATAATTCATACTCTGTGACATCAGGTTAAATCTTAAACAGATACATGGATTCGTAGTTGAGAAAAACTGTTTGCTATTCATTATCACAATTGTATATACAATCTTAGAATATATACATAAATACAGTTACAACTGTACAAGAATATTAAGTAGCAAATAGAATGCTATGTTTTCAAAAGCAACTTATAGTGACTCACACTTTCACCTACATTTTTATAATGGTTAATTATTTTAATTGTATATACAGCTTTTGTTTTCTGACTTAAAAAGAAAATTTAGTGTTTTGTCCTTTTAAACCTTATTTAGCTTTTAATTATTAATTAGTAAAAAAAATCCTTGAATTTCCCTGTATTGTAAAGCTCAATTTAAAAACAATATATTTTGATATCTGCTTATTGATTTTTTTTTTTTTTTTTTACATTTTTGGTATCATATTTCATTTTAATGCTAGAAAATTTATTATATGCATAAGCAAACTTACTTTTATATACACCTCAATTTTTTTTTTTTTTTTTTTTGAAGATTTAAAAAAAAATCTTTTTTGGTAACTCTACATGAGAATGAAATGTAGTTTAATGATATATGGAGGTGCAGGGAATGCTATGCTGAGTCATTTGTGTGCTTTTGGTGGGGCTTTTTGCATAAATGATTGGAGCCACTTTCAATATAGCTTTTTTAGAACATAGTTGTCTAGAACCTAATGGATGGGGTCATTTTGTTGCAGGCACATTTCATGTGGTATCATATCTGATAATGGCAAATCCTTTTAGTAGATTTTTAGAATGTTTTTTACCTCATGTAGTTTTATGCACTAACTATATATCTATGTTGTCATACATATTTTATTATACTTTTTTTGTACATTACTAGGTGTATTGTGACTTTAACCATTTTACTTTCAAAAGGATGCCTTTTTGCATGCTCTAATCATTAACTATTAACAATTTATCAGACAGTAATGATTTAGCATATTCAATATTTAATTAAAGGATATATTTACAAGTAATGTTTTAATAAACTACTTAATAGCTACATGGTTTTCTTCTCACCTAGCAATTTATATTAAGACTTATAGTGGATTGGTTGCCAGGGGCTTTTTACGTTTTCTTGATGAGATAAATATATTGTCTAGGTATGCCTGTATATTACTGATACAAAGCAATTAGAGCCTTATTTGAAGGTGACAGACTTGCCTGTATTCCTTGTTTTAAGCTTTTGCTAGTACACAATCTCCATATGTTCTAACTGCAGGTTCTAATTATCAAATTTTTTTCCCCCCATATCTAGCTTCTTGAAAGATCTTTTTTTTTCCCATTTTCACTGTTATGTTAATCTCTTCGCATATTAAACAATTTGTGACCTTTGTACCAAAGCACATGTACAAACCTATAACATTTAAAATTAAGTTTAATTTATTGCAGGGACTTGTGTTGTTTTTTTTTTTAAATTATATTGTAATTTATGCTAATTTCTACAAAATTAGATGCAAATTTGGTCAGCTTGGTCCTGGCAAAGGTCAGTTTAATTCACCTCATGGATTCTGCTTAGGCAATGATGAAGACATAGTTGTAGCTGACACAAATAATCATCGAATTCAAGTTTTCCAAAAAACTGGAGAATTTAAATACCAGTTTGGAATTCCAGGTGAATAAAATATTTCAGTTAATCTTACATAATAGTCTCTTAGATGTGTACACGTGTTAAAAGTTCATTCAAAGAAATTTTTGTTCATTAATAATTCTACTTTTGAATTAGGACGTGAAGAGGGTCAACTTTGGTATCCAAGGAAAGTAGCAGTCATGTTAAAGACAGGAAAGTTTGTAGTTTGTGATAGAGGAAATGAAAGATCAAGAATGCAGATTTTTAACAGAAATGGTCATTTTTTAAAGAAAATAGCCATTCGATACATTGACATTGTTGCAGGACTGGCCATAACTCCTGAAGGTATTGCATTTTATTTTTTTTACTATTCAAGTAAACAAAAAAATCTGTTCTGTAATAACATTCAATCATGTAATGTTTTTTATTCTTTCAACATTTTTTAGGTCACATAGTAGCAGTAGATAGTGTTTCTCCCACTGTATTTGTTATTTCTGAGAGTGGCGATTTGATAAAATGGTTTGACTGCAGTGACTACATGAGGGAGCCATCTGATATAGCTATCAATAACAATGAATATTTCGTTTGTGATTTCAAAGTGAGTCTTTAAAATTAATAATTATTAATATTAAAACTCATTAGTTCTCTTAAAAGAAACAGGTAAAACACATTTAATATGCACAATGCAACACATTTTTAAAAATTAAATTTTGTCCCCACATAAATTACAGAGACATGGGGTTTTCTCTGGCTTAAAAAATCTCTTGTTTTTGCTTTTTCTTTCCCATTTCCAAATTAATTGATATGATAGTGTTTGTAAGTAATTTTATGTCTTCTGGGACTCGCTTAGATACATACATCTCTAGAACCCAAACCTACTATCCTTAGTTAATGTGGATGGTTAGGCCTATGTGACCACAAATGTTATTTAAATGTATAATTTTAAAGATCATTTTGAATAGACTTATATTTCTTCTAGGTTTTAAAAATTGTTTTAATTTTTAAGTATTTTATGACGGCTTTCAACACAAATCATATTCTATATAAATACACATAATCACATTCCGGGATACTACTGTGTATGAATCTATAAAATACACTTATTGCTAACCCACAAGATAAACTAGAAATACTTATATAAAATTGTGTCAAATCTTTTTTCAGTAGTGTAGGAGAAAGCACTCTTGGTTCTTAAACTTTAAATTTTGTATTGCTTTTGAATTAAATCTGTTATGGTTTTAAGTATCTTTTCTCTTTTAACTTAGGGACACTGTGTCGTAGTATTTGCTAGAGATGGTACATTCCTACGCCGCATTGGCTGTGAAAACATCACTAACTATCCAAATGGAATAGACATCAGTGGCCATGGAGATGTGCTAATTGGTGACAGTCATGGCAACCGCTTCCACGTGGGTGTTTTCCAGCGGGATGGGTCACTTATCAGTGAATTCCAGTGTCCCTACGTGAAGGTCAGTCGTTGCTGTGGGTTAAAAATAACCACTGAAGGATACATTGTCACATTAGCTAAAAATAACCACCATGTTCTGGTTTTGAATACGTTGTATATACCATAAAGATTTAAAGCTGCAAGTGTTGTGAAATTATAATAATGCACATTAAATCCATTGCTGATTTCAGGGCTTACTTTTTCAACAGCTCTGCATTATTTTTTTTACAGAAAAATTGTATTCATTGAATTGTTCTAAAAGCCATTCTTATTTTTCTGATCACATTTTTATGGGTGGGGGGTGGCTCCTTACTCGATTAAAAATGTTTTGTCATTTGTAGCATGATCTACAGCTTTATTTACCTTTTTTTTTAATTTACTAAGAATCAGAAAGTGTTTTTTATTACTTCAATGGCATTTATTGGATATGTTTAAAAGAGATTTATGAATGATTGTAACATTATTTTAAAAGCCTGAGTACATTTCCAGTAAGTATTACCTTTTTGTAAAGAATTTCAGTTACCAATAATTTCTAATGCCAAGTGAATAAATAAGTCACCATTATGATTTTTATTTGTAAATTGATATTCAAATGTCATTAGTGTGAATGATAATTCTGTGTGATTTGTAATTTACATTTTGATCGTTTTATGCTAGTTGTGTTGCTCTTGGTTTTATGATTATAAAACTTTTTAATTATTAGAGCTTTAAAAATAACATTGCAGAAGTCTACTCTCCCTGTTTATTCTTAACACTGCTAAATGTTAGTAAGTGAAATATGCCCTAGGATAGGGGAAGTAGTAATAATACTTGCAATTATTACTTTGTTGTACAGTATTTAACACCATATATGTCATAATAGTGTATATACAATTTTTTAAAAATATATTTCCTTTGTAGAAAGACATAATGTCTCCGTGAAATACTTTATAATAAAAAAAAGTGCTCAAAGAGACTTTACTTTCAGCTGTTATACCAATTTTTAGTTGTTTTTTCCCTCCATATCTACAATTTTAGTATCGTTGTCATCTTCATACAGTATTACTTTTATTGTTGTTTAACTAAACAAATCTTTAGTGAGCAAATTTTCAGACTCTTTCAAATACAGCAAATGCTGTTGTAAAGTACAGGTGATATTATTCTCCCCTTTATTTTATTTTAGAAATCTATGCATATTGAAATGCGCAAGTGGTTTACACTACCCTTCCCCATTCCCCACCGCTTTTAAAGTTAATTCCCATGTCAGTTAATTTTACAGAAAAATATCAGCTATTTAGGGGACAACATTCCATGTAAAGATCAAAGTCTTGCTGTTTCGTCTTTTTTTTTTAAAGAAAAATGTATTGTTCTCAGGCTATTCTTTTTAAATTAAATGCATTACGAATTTATATATATACAATATTTATCCCTATTTAAACATACATTATATTTTTTTTAAGGACTTAAAGGCTATTGATTCTTCCATTTAAAGCAATTATTTTATCGTTAACAGTTTTAAAAAAAAAAATAATTTTTTTGATGATTTACATGAAATTGAATCAATATACCATATCATACAATATTGATTAGGATAAAAGGTGCACATTTTACAATATCTTCTGGTGTAGCTGTTAAGGTTTTTCAAAATTTGTGCCAATATGTTCATTGAATTTTTTTTTTTTAATATTTACATGACCTTAATAGCTCTCTTGTTCTTTTAGAGCAAAAGGAGCTCATAAGACCATTTTAAATATATAAATTCTGTAGGCTTTCATTTTTAAATAATGCATAGAGTATTATTTAATAATTCCTCAATAACTCATACCACAGTTTACTTCTTATTCTATTTACTTCCTTTGGTCGGAATATCTGGCCTTTTGATTAATTTAAAAAAGATTACTGTAATCTCAAAATTACAATGCATATACATTTTAAATATGAATGTGTGCTTACTAAATTGATTAAACACTATCTTACATCCCATTACCAGTTATTTTAGGTACAATAGTGTATACTTTATAGATTTTACATCAGTTATATTTTACAGTATCTTTAAAAGAATGGGAATAGATTTATTAATTGGTCTGTCCCAATCTATACATTGATTATGCAACTTGTATCTAATCTAGTCATATATACTCATCCGGACATGACCCGTGTTTTGGTTTTTCTCCTTCCTTTCCCATATTTTTTAACTCAAAAATTTTTATGTTTTTGTTATTTACTTTATTTAATTTTTTTTTTTTTTTTTTGCCGTGCCTTAAACAGTTTTTGTTTTGTTTTCGTGTTCAGTGTTAAAAAACAAAAGCTTTACAACAGATATTTATATTATATTATGACATGTGGTTTTTAAAAAATTAACCCATGATTTTTTTAAATCACATTTTAGTGTATTTTTAAAGCAGTTGTGCTTTTAGATAACTCTGAGAAGTAAAAATATTTGGGGGGAAATGACCCTTCAAGTAAATATTATTTTTTGGGGGTCATAATGCTTTTCAGTTATCTTCTCCTTATCCATCTGTAGACCCCATCCCCTTGCCACTGCAAACTTTTGTGCAGAAACCTTGTATGAAACTATTAAACACCCACCATACTTATACAGATAACAAAGCCTATATATTTTTATTAACCCATTAAATAAATCAAAATTACTTAGATCTCACCTTCTGAAATGGTCATAAATTTGGATGGTGTGAGTTTTTTTAAAACAAAACATGCAGTTTTCCATGCTACCATTTTCATCCTTGTTATAAACTGTTTTAAGCTTCATCATAAAGTATTCCAGAAATATTATATTTACCCAGTAACTTTGTAGATTTTTTTTTAACATGAACAGAAAGAAGGGAAGGAAAATGAGGCTTCCTTTTGAGCCCATTTTCTTATCGCCACATATACTTGGTCTCCCATTGTTTGTTTGCCTTTGTCATTCAGACAATCTAGTTTTATTTTAAAAATTTTCTTTCTCTAGAAATCACAACGAGTTTTCATCATATTTGTTACCATACTATGAATTGTGATTCTGTGTTCATGTTCTCAATTCCATCTTGATTATTTAAGAAAATGTGTACGTTTTTAATCACTCATGTATTTACATGTTACTTGACCCCCATACTACTGAGATTTTTTGTCAAGGGGATGAGTTTTTAAAAATAATGCAAACATATTTATTATATTTGTATATATCACAGTTAACAGCTGTTGCATTTTTTGCCATGTTGTGGTTAGTTTTTTTTAATAGCTCAATAGGAATAAGTCTGAAAGTCATTTGCTTCATGCTCTTGTGCATACGGAATTTAAAGTAGAACATCAATTTCAAAATATTATTTAAATATTTGTTCTAGTCTTTTGTTTTAATGATTCAAAATTATGTATATAATCATCCTATTTAATACAATAGAGGTTTGGAATAGGAGAAAATTAAATTCAGTCAGGTTTATTTTATCTTTACAAACCAGGGAAATCATCCATTTGGTTTTATTTTTAAAGTTTACATATGGTGCTGTATGTTACTAATTTTTTCTTTCATATTTATGATTATACAACATAAGTAATAATGGCTTTTTTTTTTACTTGAAGAACAAAGGTATTCTCTGAGTGCAATCTGATAATGCTAAGAAAAAAATTACAGTTTGTTTTTTGCTTTTTTTTTTTTATTTGTGCATCTAATGGGACCTATCATTTTGTAAGTTTATTGCACAGTTTTTTGAAGTATCAGATTGTACTCAGGTTAAAAATACTTTTGAGTGTTTGTAAATATATTTTTAAAGAAACATTTTAATGTAAAAATGTTAGGTAAATAGTGGGTTTTGTTAATTTTTGCCCACAAAAAGCAATGTTTTTTTTTTTTTGTTTTCTCTCCCATTGATTCATTTAAGGAGATGGTTTATTTTTTTAAGATTTTGTATTTTCTTTTATTTGTGGCCATCTGTTGTATATTGAAGGTTTTTAGTTGTACCCTTTCCTTTCATTAATTTCCACAGGTTTTGTATATATTTTTTTCCTGCTAATGTACCAAAATTTTGGACATTTCTTTCTTTAAAAAAAATCTGGCCACGAAGTAAATATTTTTCAATTTTATGCTGGCACCCTTGAATGTCCATCCAATCTCAGTTATATATTGTTAAGTTGTTTTTTTTTTTTTCAAAGTGATCTTCTTACACATTTACGTATTAATTCCGTGAGTTGATTGGGCGCATTCACATATTTACTATGAGATTTTGTTGCAACTTGGATTTTATGACTTTATATATAGTTAGTTGAATTGATGTTCCATTTTTTTTTTTAATAAAAAAAAATAAAATTACAAAAAAAAAAATAATAAAAAATAAAAACAAAAAAAAAATTTAAAAATTCAAATTTAAAAACTAGAATTGATTGTTATTTGACACTAAACCGTGGTGCATTTTTGTTGGTTATTTATTTTATTTTTAATAATTCTTTCTTAAAACTGTTTCCCCATTCCTTTTAATTTAACACGAATTTAAAATTATTTGAAATATTCAATCAATATTTACAGTAAGATTTTTTTAATCCCAAAAATGGAAAGTTTGTGCTTGAAGTTACTTTTTAACTCAATCACAAATTCACCAATGGGTTTTCACTCCTCATTCTGTCTTCTGCAGGTAACACAAACACAATAGTAATGACACACTGTTTGGCACCATGTAATTAGTGCAGATATTATTAAAGTTTTTACCTGTATCACTACTCATGACTTTTTCCTCAGCAACCATTTCCCTTTTAAGGGATAACTGTAAAATAACTTAATGCTAATATTAATAATTTTTAGGCTAAGTTTTTCAGTATTTTTAAAAAAATACTTAAAACTGCATTGTTTAAAATAGTGAACTTTTTGTAATTGGGAAAGGTAAACAAATTTTGTACATCTAAAAACAAGATAGTAAGTAGCCTATTTAAAAAAGTAATATTTCCTCAGAGTTGGATCTTTTTTATCTTCATTAATTTGCATGTCATCTAGTTTAATTGCTAGGTTAATTTTTTTTAACCATAAACTTTTTTGCCAAAGTTTATATTTCAGATTGTTAAAATGCAGCTATTTAAATTGATACTAGTAAAATTTTGCATAGTAATTTAGAGGTAGCCTTTTGTTTATTAGACAGTGAAACTATGCATTTATAAAAACAGTTTTAGAATAAAAGTGGGGGGATCAATACATCTATAGACATTTGCTTATTCGTCCTTACTAATTTTGATGTCAACTTCCAATAAGCGCTACTTAAAATTATCAAAAACATTTTATTGGCTATTAACAATGGTTTTTATATTTTATTAATTTAAAATTAAATTTCAATAGACAGGACACTAATTTCTCATGTCTTTTTAAGGAATAGTTTTTAAACTCAGATCTCAGTTTTATTTGTATTTAAATATTTACAGCTATATTTAAGTCATTGTCTTAGTAGTAAATTTCTTTCTCCATACATGCTTAAAGGTTTACTGCTTGTGTGATATTTTTAAAAAAAAATCATACTGCTGTTTCAGTAGATGCAACTCATTTCAAAAAAGGTTTTATATTTGGGATGGGCAAAAATCTATTATCAGAACAAATACTTTTATCTTCTGACAAAATGTTTTATAATAACCACGCATTTTATGCATTCAGCATTCTAATCACAGGTAACAATTATTCTTTACATAAGCAATATTGAACTATGTATTTACAGTATAATTTGCTCAAATTTTTTTTCAATTTAAATGTTCTATTTTGTACTTAGCTATTCATTTTTTTAAATTTGCTGTGTAATAATGCTTTTTTTAAAAAGTGCATTCTGATAATCAAAGGTTTTTTAACAAATTACTCATTCAGTTTTGTAATAACCAGGTCGCTATTTTAACCGGTGACATTGTCAAATTTATGTTAGTGCCATTCAGTGTGTCTTTTTAAATATTTTAAGTAATGTAGTTAGATTTCAATTAGATTTTCCATAATCTGTCTTATATATATATTATATAATAGAAACAACCTTCTAAAATGCATAGTGTTAATCACAATCCTACATACACCACTTTTTCTTATTGCTGCAATAGACAGGCATGAGGGGCACTATACACAAGTATTCATATATATATATATTATATATTCCTATTTTTGGAAATACATCGGCCATTTCTTAAAATGTACGTTTATGTTATGATGTATGCAAAAAATGGAATAAAGGTGTTCTTTCAATATGTGTTGTTCAATTAATTTAAAAATTGTTTTAAAGTGTTCTAAATAACTAAACATTATACATTTTAATGCCTTAATACTATACACTTTAAGCTATCTTCCTTTAGCTAAGTTTTATAGAAAATTATATAAAATGTGGATTACCGCTTTCACCTATTTGCCATTGCATATTTCTTGATCTGTACATTATTTTTTTATGTAAGCTCTAAAATTATATTAACAGCATAGTGCGCAGTTATTCATAGATAATTTCAAAATTTGCATTGCAATTTTATTCATAGAGGCCTTCAAACTTAAATTGCACAAACCATATGTAAGGCCTGTTCTATCACTAGTCTACTTGTAAATTAACCCATAAATGGTACTCAAAAATGCTTACAATGGATACTTCTCTAATTTGCTACTGAATAACCACTTTATTATTCGTGGAGGATTGGGACGTTGTTCTTCATAGTTCATGTCTCTTTTCTTTTTCAATTTTGTTTAGAGATGTAACAATTTCTAGTCTGGTCTAAGCTCGGCTAATGCCTGTTTATTCCGGCGCTAATGTCTTTGTCGGTTCATCCCGACACATTGACAACACTCAGGATGTAACTTGTAAGAAGCTTTTTTTTTTTTTTTAGTTAGAAAACTTTTAATGTGCAGTTCTAAAATGATGAATGAAAGAAATAATTTATGAAATAAATAGACCCTTACAGCCATGAACATACGAACCAGCCGAACCAACAGATTGAATTATTTAGGAGCCCACAATAATGTTATTGATGTGGATCAGCTTGACAAAAAATCCAATAAATCCCATAATAGCAAAACCAATAGCTGTGGCCATTGCAACTCTTTTTCTATCTGGCTTAGTGCATTTCTTAACTAGTCTGGTTGAGTCTTTTGCAAATGTCTTTGCTGGCTCAACAAACTGCATAACCTGATCCATGGCTTTTGATCTTTTAGTTCTGTTTCGACAACTGCTTACGTCTTACTCTCTTTTTTAACCATATTTTAAATTTGGTCCTGTATCTTTTCAACCCCATCTCGTTCTTGGTTAATCTTTGTTAATTTTGTTTCTTATTCTTATGGTTTATTTTAATATTAAAAATTTTAAAAAATAAAACTCTGGGCAAGGGACGTAGGCTACGCTGATTTTACACACATTTATCTAGATCTATATATTGGTTTCATAGTCGTGTTGCGTCGAAAAATAAAATTTAAAAACTATTTTCTAAATTGTAATTTGTAGAATATATTTATATTCGCCGATGAAATATTAACAGATCAAAGTGAGAAGTAATTATACACTGATACACTCCGTACACATTTAGGGGTCATCCATAAATGACGTCACACTTGTAGAGGGATGGGGGGGGGGGGGGGGGTCCGAAATTTTGTGATGAGGGGGGGGGGGGGGGGTTCAGATGTTGCGACGTCACACTTTTACATTATAATTATATGGTCTTCATTTCAAGTCAACGTCGAAATTCACGAACAGGACAACAGGAACTCTTTCTATCTTGTTGTGTATTCAAAAGATATTAATTGTACTCGTATGTATAATGTGACATAAATTATTGAAGTGAAAAGATATGCCACTTTATTATAGCTGCTTTTAACAGAGTTTTATTAATAAATTGCCGCCCGGGGCAGGCGTCCCCCCCCCCCCCCCCCCGAACGAAATGAAATTTATATAATTTATATAGAAAATATATACTTTTAACAGTGTCCGCCCCCCCCCCGGAGAAAGTCTACCCCCCCCCCCCCCCCGAAAATTTCAATTGCCCCCCCCCCCCCCCCGGAGAAAAAAGTCTGGAAGAAACACTGGGTGATGTCAGTAAAGAGAAAAAAGTTAACAGCGTCTAAAGTGGATTGGGAAAGTCCTACGGTTTTATTATTTGATTACTTATTTTATTATTCTGTCGAAACATGTGTATGTTTTAATATAAATACATATTATTTCATATTTAAAGCAATTAATTTTAAATAAAAAATATTTTTTTTACCTAATCCTAATCAAATACCAAATATTGAAATAAAAATGTTAGTGGCTCTTTTGAAAAAAATCTAGGAAATGTTGTAAATTGTAACTTTTGGCTCTTCCGTCTAAAAAAGTTGCTGACCTCTGCCCTACTTCAAAACGTTGTCCAAACGTCCTTTAGCACGCGCCCTCCATTCTAAATATCGTGCCCCCCCCCCCCCCAAGAGATGCCTGAAAGTTACTCATCTCTGAAGCGTCTACATCAGTGGCGTAGCGAGGGGGGGGGGCGGGGTGCAGACCGCACCGGGTGACACCATTGGGGGGGGGGGAATGACACCAAGGCAAAAAATAGCAAAATATATAGAGAAAAATGATAATTCTACTTAATTAAGTGATTTATTCGAGTATTAAATAGTATTTTAAGAGGTGCAAATCGAAAGTTTGAGGGGCGTGGTGCAAATCAAAAGTTTGAGGGGTGGGTGCAAATCGAAAATTGAAAGTTTGTTCCCGGGAAGGGTCGCTACGCCTCTGGGGGTGACACCATTAAGTGCCGCACCGGGTGACACCCGATCTCGCTACGCCACTGGTCTTCATTTCAAGTTAAAGTCGAAATTCACGAACAGGACAACAGGAACTCTTTCTATCTTGTTGTGTATCCAAAAGATATTAATTGTACTCGTGTGTATAATGTGACAAAAATTATTGAAGTGAAAAGATGTGCCACTTTAATTATAGCTGCTTTTAACAGTTTTATTAATAAATTGCCGCCCGGCAGGCGTCCCCTTTCCCTTTCACATCATTATCAGTGTTTCTTCCAAACTTTTTTTTCACCGGGGAGGGGAGGGTATTTTTGGGGGTTGAGGGGGGGGTGGTGGAAGAGTGGACACTGGTAAAAGTATATGTTTTCTATATAAATTCCATTTCGTTCGGAGGGGGGGGGGGCGATGCCTTGGAAAAACTCTGATCGGTAGATATCTATAGGTCGTCTCAAGCCACGTCTGTTGAAAAAAAAAACAACTTCCGGCAGCAACCGCCCGCGCATCCTTGTTATTTGCAACCAAAAAAAAAATTAAAATTAAAATCACACTTTGATTAGCCTTTCTATTGAATTACCGGTATTAGAATTGAACTGGAAAAATGAATACGCTGTGGGTTTCAATTTTAGGTCACTTTAGCTTGAATTTTTGTGATCTGATGTCTCAAGTTACATCAACGACTATTTGACGTCATGAGTTCGACAGGAAATGAAGTTCCATTACGGGGGAGGGGGATGCAGGAGTTTGTTTTTTGTTTTTGTGACAAGTGCAGAAAGATGTTAAAAAGTGTGACGACACAGTTTTTATTTGGAAAATTACTCATTTTTAAGATTAAATTTGTGTTGTTTTAAATTAAAATTTATCAGCAACATTATTGTTGACCCACCTAAATAGGAGGGGGCTTGCAGTGCCTAAGAGTGACCTAATTATACAACGGGGAGACGGAGGTTAAAATCTTCCAAACAAAGCATGACGTGATTTACGGCCGACCCCTTAGACCACTGCGTGGGAGATCAAGCATAAAAATAAGTGTCACACATCACATCTAGGGCGAGGAGAGGGTTTAAGAGGGAAGACGGAGGTAGATGTGTGATTTGAGAAATGTTGCTAAATCTAAAATAGTCTAAATAGAGACGTGTCTACATATTTTAAGCGCGCTTTTTTTTTGCCTCACTATCTCCAAACATTGTCAAAGTCAGAAACCTCTTGAAAATAAAGTTAAAATAACTTCCACTTACCCCGCCCCAAATTATGCAATTTAAAAAAAAATATTTTGAAACAGCTCTACGGCCTATAGCATTACTTGAGTCCAGTGTTTCTTACAGACTAAAATTTCGGGGGGGGGGGGGCGGACACTGATTAAAGTATATATCTGTTCTATATAAACTCCATTTTGACGGTGGGGGGGGGGGGCAGACTTTTTTTCGGGGCAGAGCCCTCCCCCGCCGAGATGCCTGGAAGAAATTCTGCTTGAGTCAAGCCCTCCCTATCTTCACATAGCACAAAAAAAGTCTAACAACCCTCTCCTTTGGAGTGTTAAGTCGTTTAATAAATCATCGAGGACCCCCTTAAGACTTAAGAACAAGGATTATTTAAAACGTTTGGGCAGGTGTGGGGTGGGTCAAAGATGTCATATTTTCTGTTATGTAATATTAATAGTTGCACGATATCGGAACGTGTTTTATGAAGTCAAGAAAACGTCCCAATTAAGAATATTTTAGCAAGCTCATTTAGCACAACTCATCGGATACATCTTCTAGTTTAATCAACCACTCAGTTCAGCGTTAAACATTTAACTTTAACTCTAAAGCCAAAAGCTAATGTTATTTAACAGATTACGTAATGATTATGAGACCAGCTATCTAAAAACATGGAACTGATCTTGAACGTGGCCTTCAAACTTGCTAGTCGGTCAAGTTTAACCAATCAATTGCAAGAGTTTAGTCATGTGATATTTATGTAACAAAATTGTTATATTAAGACTTACATGACATGTGTGCCATTGTTTAGTAAAGTGTAGCTAGATCTAGATTAGACCTAGTTAATTGTAGCTTTTATTTCTTCTTTTAAATAACAGTAAATTAAAAATTCAAGATCCAGATCTATGTTAAAATGGTAGATCTGGCCAAAGAGGCATTCAGTACGAATAATTTCAGTCTGGCAGCTGAAATTTACGAAAGAACTATTCTTGAAAATGGACCCACTTCAGAATTATTTTTGGGATTAGCCGATAGTTTTGCAAGAGCTGGTAACTTTTCTAAAGCATTTGAATCATATAAAATTGCCTATAGATACGGGAAAGTGACTCCAGAAAAATTGAAACATTTAGTGATTGGATTAGTAGATACAGTGAAACAAGATTTACTCAACATATCGGGAAACAAAGGGAAAAAAAGTTGTATGTTCATTTGTGGAGTTTGTCGCGGCCTTTTAGCTGATCCTGTCACGGTACCCTGCGGACATACCTTTTGTAGAAAGTGTCTTGAAAAGGATAAGTCAAGAACGTGTGAAAATTGTGGAATTGTTCACTATAGGCTTAAAACACGGAGTTGCAATTCAAATGTGGTGCTGACTAATTTGATAGAAAAATGGTTCCCGAATGAACAAAAGGCTGCTCGGTTAAAACAAGAAGGAAATGAATATTTTTCTAAGGGAGATTTTGTAAGTGCAATCGACGTTTACACACGGGCACTTGCAATAGGTGAGTTGAAGTAGCAATGTATATATTTATGAATACCTAGGCCATACTAATTAAGTAATTTACCAAGTCCAAAATACTATTACTAAAATATTAGCCTAATATCATCATATATTAAATAATTAAATTAAATAGGCCTATAATAAATTATTATATCATAAGTCAGTTGGGGCCTATTTAATAAATTTATCCAATAATAATATAATACATAATTATGGGAATACCTTTTGTTTATTATTTTAAAACTTTTAATTTCTTTTTGATTATTTTTTAGCCCAACAAGATCATCTTTTGCTTAGTAACAGAAGCCATGCATATTCATCACTTGACAGATATGAAGAAGCTCTTCGTGATGCTGAGGCAGTTATAAAAATACGCCCAGATTGGCCAAAAGGATATTTTCGTAAAGGCTGTGCTCTGTTTGGCCTTGCTTGCTATGAAGAAGCTGCTGTTGCTTTCTTACAATGTTTAGCTTTAGATCAGAAAGTTGCGTCTGCTAAGGACTATCTTTCTAAGGTAAATATTCATTCAAGATTTTCTTTTATTTCCCATTTAAAAGTAACATGTGAATGGTATATCCTTAATTTAACTTTTTTCATCTAGTTCAATTTAAAATATACATTTTTAGTTATAACTAGCCCATTAGAATTTCACAGAGCTCTTGCAGGACTATTGTACGTGTAATAGACATTATAATGAAAAACTAAACCATAAGCAATAGATAAAATAGCTCATTACTAATTTTTGTAATAGCGTACAACCTGAAAGAAAGGTAAATATAAATTTCTTAGTGCAAGACATGTAAGAAATATATTTTATACAAGCTGACCCGCGCAGTAAGCATACACCATATTTAGTTGTATTATTTTCTACTTTTCAGAATTCATAATTTGTCAATTCAACACTACCAATGCTGCAACTGAAAATATTAAAACACTATCAGTAGCTCATGAAGGACAATTATCCTCATCCTCCCTTTCCTCTCTTTCCCCCCCCCCCCCCCCCCCAGCCCTTGTGAAAGCAGCTGTCTGTGATGACAGTTTACAGTCGACTATAAAAAGAGCAAGCAGAACATGTTACTACCTCCCCTTAGTTTCAAATAGTTTAAAAACTAAATTATCCGCCCCTAATAGCATTCACTGATTCGACCCAGCTCTATGATTGTAAACATTTGGCGTGAACCACATCTTACCACAGCTCACCAGACGGGTGGGGGGGTGGTAGCTATAAGCATAGTGAGTGAGGGAGTGGGCGATTCAGCGTGCTAACGTGGTGTCCCGAATGGTCCGTCCTGAATGGTCCCTCCATGATGAGAAATATATATATATATATATATATATATATATATATATATATATATATATATATATATATATATATATACATATATATATATAGATAGATAGATAGATAGATAGATAGATATAGATATTATATATTTTCCACTTACAAATTTAAAAAAAAATCGAACAGCTGCTCTTTTGCTCCATTATGTAAAAATAAAAACAATCCTCTTTTTTTTTACAGGCACTAGATAAAATCCTGTCTGCTCTGTTGCCAGATGACCCTAAAGCGGAAGCTCTTCAGCAAAGAAGTAATCCAACTTTGCTACACAAGTTGATTGAGACTAATTTCACCTCTCCTATTTTGCTACCTGATATTGCCAACACCCTGTGTGGCTTGGCACAAATTGTTAAAGAAACCATAAATGTTGCTAGCAACTTTTCTACAGAACCTACTCCTTGTGTTGTTAATAAGGAAGAAGAAGTCCATAAAGTCCAGCCTGATATTAGTAATGTAGAAGAGGAACCTTTATCAGAAAATCTCAGATGTAAGTAGGTGTAATTAAAAATTTTCACAAGGCTTTTGAGCCCTTCCCTTAATATTTGTATATTAAGCACTTGGTGAAATGGAATTTATGTATAGGTCTAATGATGATAAGAACTACTGACAAAATTTTTTAAGCATGATGCCTTGGTGTATGAACCTTGTAAAAAGAAAAATATGGGGTTAGATAATAATTTAATGGTGTTTACCCCCCCCCCCCCCCCCGTAAATTATATATATATATATATATATATATATATATATATATATATATATATATATATATATATATATATATATATAAAATACACACTCATATACATTTTGGTGTGTTAATATTTAAGTTTAAAAAAGTAAGTATATATTTTTTTGTTTTTTTTAGGGAGTTCCCTACCAGACTGTAGTTCTGTGGACCATGCAGAGATAAAACAAATTACCAAACCCAGGTCACACTCTCCATTGTTATTAGCATCAAGAAAACGATTACGAAACGCGACTACTGCTCAGCATCCTCAGCACCCAGCTAGTCCTATCCGATCCACACCTCAAAAACTTTTGAGTAAGGCGCATAATTAATATTTGGTACCAATATTATATATATATTGAATACACTTTTTTGTATGTTCTTAAGATCAACAACTTATTCGGAGATAAATATATTTCAGAATCTACTTTGGAAAGCTCTTCAGCATTTGATTCTGATGCATGCCAATTGAAGCCTGAACAGAAGAGTGTAGAAGACCTTGAGTGTGGACTCTGTTACAGAATATTCTTGGAGCCTGTTACAACTCCATGTGGTCATACATTTTGTCGTAAATGCTTAGATAGATGTTTGGACCACACAGTAACTTGCCCTCTATGCAAAGGAAATTTAGCTGAGGTACTTCCATAAAGTCATGGGTTGAGTAAATAATTAAATAGAAAATCATCTTCTTCATTTTAGTTTGTATTTTACATACTTTTTTCATTTGAAATTTAAAACATCAGTAATTTAAAAACATCCACTTAACATTTTTTTTAAATCAATTGAAATGAATTTTCCTTCCTAAGTGATATGTTTGCACAAGTTAATGATTTTATCCTACTTTATTCTAGTATTTGGCAGAGAGAAGACAGTCTGTTACTGACTCTATACAGTGTATTATTGAAACCTACTTTAAAGCTGAATATGCTGAGAGGTGTAGAATTAACGATGAGGAAATGATTGAACTTACTAAGTAAAGATTTTCATTGATTAACATTTATTTATCTAGTAGAAGTTTGTAAATGGAGATTATTCAGAAATATATGTATTTTTAATGACTTAGTTGTTGTAAGTTTACGATTTACATGAGTAACATATTTGAATCCTAAAATAGTTAGAAATGTACCAAACCAATAGACAATTGTTGTAAAATCTTTTATTCTAGAATGGGAAGTGGTCAACAGTCTGATATCCCAGTGTTTGTTTGCACACTTAGTTTTCCCACAATTCCATGCCCTTTGCACATATTTGAGCCCCGCTACAGGCTGATGATACGACAGTGTATGGAATCTGGCACTCGTCAGTTTGGAATGTGCATGCATGTCAACGAACCTGGGTGAGTGAATAAAAATTGTTGCTGCTTTAATTTTTAAAATTTATAAAGGAATGGAAAGATTTATAATGTTCTTAACCTATAGCAATCATAATGCTGTTTAACAGTATCAAAGTAATGCCTCTGTTATTATTGGTACAAGTTCTCTGTTTAATTTTTTAGTTATTAATCACAACCATGTACATTTTAGTTACCGCTGTTGCATTTGTCTTTGTGTCTTGATTTGTTAAAAATTGGATTAATGTATCACACAAAATAATTTCTTATAAAAAACAATTGTTTTAAACATATTAAAATCCTTCTGTGTAAACAGATAAGACTACAGAATTCAGAACAATTAGAGTTCATAAAAGTTAAAATGGTAATAAGATGTTTTTCTAAAACAATATAAGAATTCAATTTCATGGTAAGAATACAATGAATTTTGTATAGATGAATTAGATGAACAATTTATTTCTCTTTGAAAACTTTTTTCCTATTTTTAAAAAATGTATGCTTGAAACAAAATCATTATTTATCGTAAACTTTTTATTTTACAGTAAAGAATTCTCTGACTATGGATGTATGCTAGAAATTAGGGATGTACAGTATTTTCCTGATGGAAGATCCGTAGTTGATACTATTGGTGGCAGGCGTTTTAAAGTACTAAGCAGGGGAAAGCGTGATGGCTATAATACAGCAAAAGTAGAGTTTCTTTTTGACAAACCAGTTCGCGAGGAGGATTCACAAAGTAAAGGCTTAATTATTGGTTGTTTTTAAATAACTAAAAAACTTAATTATACATATTTGTTACATTTATGTTTTATGTTGTGATGTTTTGGGTTGAGTTTCAAATTTTTTTTCTGCAGTCTAAATAAACATTTCTTAATTGTATTTCAGCTGTCAGTGCATTGCAAGCAGAAACACACACTATGGTAAAAAATTGGCTTTTGAAAGTACCAGCTGGACATCGCAATAAAATTATGCAACATTTTGGAGAACTTCCCGACTATGATGCAAATGCACCTTTTGCTCCTAATGGCCCGGCATGGTTGTGGTGGTCAGTGGCAGTATTGCCTTTGGATCCACGAGTACAAATTACTATGCTTGCAATGTGTAGCTTGTCTGAACGGTTGATAGCATTAAAAAAGGTAATTTTTTTTTAAAGCTGTATAATTTATCCTGGGTGTTAAAAAATTAAATAATGCATTAGCTTTTTAAAATAAAATATTATTATACCAAGCACATTCAGTTTAAGCATATCTTTCTTTTTAGAAAGTTGAACATTATATTTGCGCAACACACAAAATTTAAAATAATTTCTATCATTCTACAGGTCTTGGAGTATTTAAACCGCAGAGGCAGTCAATGACTATCCAGATTTTTAGCTGAGAAAGTCTTTTTGCTTGAGTCTCCAGCAACTGTTATGATACTCTTCTTCATTGCAGTTCTTTTAGCCATACATTTTTATGATATGCCAACCTTAGCCTATAATAATTTTCTGATCTGATTCATATATACTGTATTTAAGTTATTAATATTCAACCGTAATCCCATGGTTTTTTTATTTTTTTAGAAATTATGATTTTAAAATAAAATTTGGCTCTCCTGGTATAGCTACTAGATCTAAATTTGTAGAGTGAGATTAAAAGAAACTATTTGCATAAACACATCATGCCTTATTAAAGAAGTTATGATGTATATTTCAGTATGATGTATATTTCAGTATATAATAGGATGACGATAACATTTTTGTTTTTTAATTCCTTTGTTAAACATTTTTATGTTTTAATAATAGTATATCCAACAACTAAATTAGCAGAGAAACAAATATTTTCCAGAATTTACTGCAGCAGTTTGAAATCAAAATGTTTCCCCTAATGTTTAGATTACTTAATTTGCCATTACCTGAAAAATCTTATCTTCATTCCTTTATTCCTTTAGTATAACTTGTTCGTGATTCTTTAGTTTAGGTTTTGTTTTAAATGTAACTTTATTTGCAACATTTTATGAACAGCAGTTAAGACATTTTTTTTTAAACCCAAAATTCCTTTTACTGTCTACTTCCATCTGTGGAAGATAGAATATAACTTGTATTATAATTATAGACTAGATCAGCTGAATCCTTAGCCCGAGAACAAAATTACCCAAAAATTTGGTTATTGGATGATAAATAACTACATCCAAGTAAGGAACTCTTCTGTGTAAGAAAATGTAACAATGGCTTGGTGACAAATATCTCTTGAAAAAAACATTGTTTTCTTTTTATATCTTTATGGCTCTTGTACACATTGGATATCTTCCAGTTTTCTGGCCATATCACATTTGTGCCATAGTCTTATACTGTTTTGAAAATCATTTTAAATTTCTAAAGTAAATGATTTACCAAATCTCCTATGTTTTAATGTATAATTAATGATTATAAAAATTGATTTATCAAGATTTCCTCCTCTCAGTTTGTTTCGAATGGTCAACTTTTGTTTACTGCACTACTTTTCTGTACAATAAATTATTTGCTAATGTTGTTTTAAATGAAAATACAACTCTTTTTACCAAAAAAAAAACATACCCAGACTTAACAGAAATGGCATTATTTCTATCGCAAGAATTCACTTCTAATTCAACTGCTTTTGATGCAAAAAAAAAAAAAAAAAAAAATCCCCATTAACATATCAAAACCCCACTCTAACTGATAGTTAACAGTTTTATTAACTTTTATGCAAATAATGCAAAGCTGTTCTTTTGTAATTGTTTATTGCAATTTTATGCACCTACTTTTCATAGAGGACTTATAACTGATCCCTTTAAATTATCTACTATATAATTGGTTTTTCAGTGTACGATTGCTTCCGTATTTTTGCAATAAATATTAATTATGACTGCTGCATTGCATGAGTAAAGTCTAAGCTTTATTAATCAGGAAACCTCTTGCCAATAATTTTCTTTCCCTTGTATTGTTTCTCTAAATAAAAAAATCCTCAACGGATTTTTATAAAGATGTGATATTACCATGGGTTAAAAATGCTAAAAACAACTGCAGTCTGCCATCATTGTTCTGTAAACAAAAAATGATGAATGCACGGTTTTATGCAATTAATCAAACTGCTCTATGTTTTTGTGGGTGCTACTATATTATAAATACTATTTTCTTCTTTAACTGTCAACAACACTGATTTAACTTTTTCATACCTTTGTGGTTTTATTTTTTTTAAATCAGAAAATTCACTGCATTTTTGTTATACCTGTTTGGTTGCAATCCCTTTTAAAAATATTTTTTACTATGTTATTTATTAGCTGAATCTGTGACACATCTTTTAGCCAAATCCAAATATTTATTTCTGTTCATAAAACATTTTTAACATCTTTTAAAAAAAATTATTTTGTACTTGTATATTCTGTAATTATGAAAAGCTTAAAAAGAATTTGTTAAAATGACTATTTTTAATGGTAGGCTTATAGACTAAAAAAAATGTCTATTTGAAGACTCTGTAATTAACAAATATAATATTTTTATATTGTTATAGTTTATACTTAATTGATTTATGTGGTTAAAATGATTTATGAACCCAAGTTTAGTATAGTATTATTCCTTTTTGAAAGTGTGACATAAATTTAAGGAAAAAAATATTTAATACACCTTAAGAATGTACTGTAATTGTCATGTTTATTATTTATTCATTTAGTCATGAACAGTAAAAATAAAACAAAATGTTCTTTTGTTTTGTGCATATTTGTGAATTAAACATATGGTTTGGTCTTTTAATTTTTGGGTAAATTATTTACAATGATAATTATGAATGCTACTTCATAATTTCAAAGCACAGTGAAAGCATGTTCAACATACCTAGAGTTTACCTCAATTACTTTATGCCAGGCTTTAAAAAATGGCTTATTAGAAATATTTATTTGCTAAAAATTTCACTTGAGCAGAGAGTCACAACATGAAGTAACCTACACTGGTAATGCTACCTGAGAATCAAATTTCATTATAGCTTGATCTTTTATTTAATTGTTGGGGTCAATGCAGAGGCGTAGCGACCCTTCCCGGCGCCCGGGGACAAACTTGTCGATTTGCACCCCCCCCCTCAAGATTTTGATTTGCACCCCCCCCTCAAACTTTCAATTTGCACCCACCCCCCCTCGAGATTTCGATTTGAACCCCCCTCAAACTTTCGATTTGCACCCACCTCAACCTTTCAATTTATTTTTCCAACCCATTTTGGCGCCCCCTAATGTCGACGCCCGGGGACATATGTCCATTTAGATGTTCTAGCCTCTAAAAGTACAAACAAAGGAAATTTAGCTGGAATCAGTGGATCCTAACCTTTTTCATAGACACATTCACTGAAACCTTATTAGCTCTATGGTCCACATTGACAACATCCTCATTTGACCTTCGCAGAATCCAGAGAAACTAAACAACATAATAACCAATGAATACTGATCTTAATTCTAGTATTACCAACACCGACTACTTGGCCCCGCTTTTCATAGCAACATAAATAAGAGATAGAAAAAAAAACAGGAGGTTCTGGCGAGGTTCGAACTCGCGACCTTCTGCGTGTAAAGCAGACGTGATAACCACTACACCACAGAACCACCTAATAACCCGTACCGCTCAAGTACTAGTATGAGAATTAACAGACATCGTTCAAACAACAAAACAGGTTAGCCTACAGATCACAGTAGGAATTACTTGCCTAATTTTAAGTCATTTAAGCTATTTGTATTTTTGTGCAGTTGAAAAACCAAATTAGAATGTAAAAAATGTAGTATTTGCATTACAAAGGGAAGGTCTATTTAATAATAAGTCTACGTGTTTATGTTTTTTTTTAAAACAATGTCCACGCCAAGTTTATTTTTTAACAAGTCAGCGATTTATTTTAACAGTATGGATTGGAATGGGTATTCTTTTCATTAGGAGCAACAAGCTTTCTGTTTCTTTTCCTTTAAAATTTAATTAGGACGAACGTACCAAGGAAGCTGACAAAGGGCGAAAACCTGTTTAGACAGGGGAAATTTAGGCCAACACGAAAAAAAAATGAATTATTACGTCAAATATTACATAATAAATATTAAAGCATTTCTTTATGTAACATTAATAATTTATTTGTTATGTAGATCTAGGCCTAATGGACAATTTTATGTTGTTAGGCATGCTTTGTAAAAAAATAAAAAATAAAATTCAACTCGTAAAAAGGTTCTTGCTCCAAGTTAGACCTTGTAGTCCTCCTTTTAAGCGAAGTGAACATTATTCATATATATATATATATATATATATATATATATATATATATATATATATATATATATATATATATACACAGAGCCGGCGTTAGGGGGTGGCAAACGGGGCGGTCGCCCTAGGCCCCGCGCTTCAGCAATGTCATTGTTATCTGATTTAGTTTGTAAACTTTAAAAAATTGTTCTGTATATATATATATATATATATATATATATATATATATATATATATATATATATATATATATATATATATATATATATATATATATATATATATATGTGTGTGTGTATGTATATTATATATATATCACAGCCTCTCTCACTAATATTTAAATGTATAGGTCAAATCTCTCTCTCGCTATCTTTGTATATATGCCTATATATAGGAGTGATGGAAGTAGGAGATGAATCAACATTCAACAAACATTAAGTTGACCTCATTTATGGACGATTTATCATAGTTTATGAGCCTAAAAATAGACCTATGCCTGTGTCAAAAAATGTGCGTGTTACGCAATACCTAAATTAAATAAGGTTCGCCGAGCACGCCCCATATAGGCCAACTTTAACCTGAAATGTGTGAAACCCTACCTGAGCTACGTTTATAGCAACCTTTATCAAAAGCTGTTACACTGTCAAGATATGACTACAAAACGTATAAAAAATGCAGTATGCTACATTATATCTCAAAGAATCAAGGCGCAATTATGACTTACTCATAATTACAACTTGTTAAAATATAGTCAGCCATTAGAATTTTGGCGGTGTGGTTAATGGAGTTGTCTCAAAAATACATAATTGAGTAGTTTGCTGTGATACTTTAAATCTGGATGGGCCATGACGTCGCACATCTGAGGGGAGGGGGTGGGGGTGCGGGTGGGGGGAGGCGTAGGTCAAAACTTGTGACAATGTGGGATCAACCATTCTGACATAGCAAAACCTTTTTTTAATATTATTTATATATAAAATAATTTTAACGCAAAACAGGTCCACCTTCACTCTTCAGTATAGTTACTTTTTAGGCTAAGGGAAAAAGGTAACGCAGATACATTAGTTTAGGGAGGGTCCGGTAGTTTGTGATATTTGATAGAATGTGCAAAGGTAGCCACTATGGGGGTCCCTCTGAAATTGATCAACATCATAGCAGCTCTATGAAGACTCCAACTGCCAGATATCCATAAGAACAGGTTAACTAACTCCTTTTCGTCAAAAACCGGAGTTTTTTTAAAATAGTCATTGACTGGATCACTAGAAGAACAACCTCAGGCCAAAAAAATTAGACACATATTGCGTAAAGAAGAATCCCCTGAAACCGAGAGACGTGGTTGTGTCCCTTTGCTCCAAACTGAGACACCAGGAATGATGTGAAGGTAGCAGGGATAAATAGGGATGATCCCCATGTGCCTGCAGGAGTCCCAAAATAGCAATTATTTATTAGATGTATAAGGATCATCTTGAAGGATACAACCCCCCCCCCCCCAGATTAGAAACTGGGGCACATAGGCTAAGTTCCCAAACTATTCTATTTTTAGGATAGTTTTTTTAGGCAACGTCTGTCCCTTTGACCCAATTGTAATACAACAATTTCGTTTTAACTTTCCAGTTACATTTGTCTCAGATGACAACACAAGAATATCTTATTTTTAATCTAATTAGATTTCAATTTAGTCATCAAAATTGAAACTTTACTACACTCAATATGCAAAGGAAAGACAACAGGGTTGAGCCTTAGTGAATGCTTGATAAGCCAGGTGATAGTGACCTGTTTGTCGTGGGTGGTTAAAATTGCATACAGTTTCTAGATCTACCATTTGGATTAAAAAATAAGAAACATGATGCGATTTTATAACTCATTTATTTTAGTCTCATACATAAAAGATACATGCATTAAAAAACGTAAATTATTTGAAGTTCACATCAATACACTGGCTATGTTTTGGTTAAAAATAAATTAGGAAAAAAGCGAAGCCCTTCGATGGTTTCATCTCTACAAACACCTCCCATTTTTTCTGTTAAGAAAAGTCTGAAAAAAAAACGACATAAAAATTTCATAAAAAACGTTTTAATAACAAGCTTTTAGATCTATGTACTAATGCACTAAAAAGTAGAAAATAAATTATACACTACTATTTAAATAACTATAAAGAAATGCGTGGGTCTCTTCCTAAATATTAGACACTACTATTTAAATTACTATAAAGAAAAACGTGGGTCACTTTAGTATCTATTGGATACCTTTACTAATATTTAGGAAGAGACCCCGCTTTTCTTTATAGTTATTTAAATAGTAGTCTATAATTTATTTTCTACTTTTTAGTGCATTAGTACATAGATCTAAAAGCTTGTTATTAAAAGGTTTTTTATGAATTTTTTCTTAGTACTTTACATGTTTTTATTTACAATACAGGTTCATGACTAAAAACCATTGCACGCCTATTGAACGTGATGGCGCAGCTATTGAACGTGATGATGCGTGTGGTGTGGTTGGATAGACATGCCTACTAATTCGGTCCAAATTTTAATTAGTTCATAAAAAATTAATTATGCATCCAATTAAGTCAAATTTAATTTCAGATTGCATTGTCTTCATGTCTTGACCCACGTGTCAACTGTGAACCGTATGTGTCAAGTAGAAGTGTCAGAATTTTCGCTCGAGCATTTCGATCTAGACTGACGACAGAGGAAGCGAGTTAAATAAAAGCTTGTAAAAAGGAGGTAATTGAATATAATTTAAAATAAACAATCAGAGAAAAATGTCAAGAGACCAGCAGCCAGTGTGTTACTGTCTGCCCATTGGTTGTTACGACAACATGTTTTAGGATAATTGGTCGACATGTGTCCCTTAATGTAAATTGAGTTTAGGATAATTAAAAATAACAACCTCTCTCTAGCCAAGGTTACTGCTACTTCAAGTAACTGAGCCAGCTGTTCAGCAGTTAATGACCCTTGTTCCTCAACCTGAAAAATAAAAACATGATTTTTTCATAATTATTTTCTTTGATAATATTAGCAGTTTAGTCAAGATAGAGCTGTTATTTACAGGTGAATTTGTAATAACCAGTCTAGTTCTTTGAGTCAAAAGTGTACCGCACATAGGTCAAGGTATGCAAATGCAGCTGTTTACCAACAAGCCAACTCTTTTGTCCTAAAGATAAGAAATTACTGTTTGATCTACAAGGTTAGATTATCTCACCATTTGACTAGTCTTTGAGACAATTTCTTCCTCGTTCTGGTTCTCTGCCTGTAGAACTGACACACCGCTATCAAAAGTACGCAGCCTAAAACATTCAAAACACAAGCTGTCATTACAATTTTTTATTATAGTGTGAGAAAATATGAACACTACTTGTTGAAATGTGTGTCAAAAATAATTAAGAAAAATGTTTACTTTTACAGGAAACTACAGCGTGGTCAAGGGGTAGAGTGCTCCATAACAAATTTGAAAGCCTTGAGAATTCAAGGAGGATACGACTGAGAATATTCTACCCAGACTACCCCTTCATACAGTCAGAGAAATAGATGAACTCTGCTTATTATATCTTTGGGAACATATAATATAAAAGGGTACATTTTTTACATAGGCTTTACAAATACAATGAGTAATGTACTACTCTCACCTTGTAAAAGCAAAGTATGATTCCATGGGGCAAGTGGAGTTCACCTGTTTCTGTGACCTAGGCATATGAAGGGCTAGTATGGTCAGCACTATCCCAGGTACCCATCAGAGCTGGGTGGACTCAGGGACATTCAACCGACTAGAACCCAGATTCAAACTTAAGACTTTCAGGTTAGCAGTCATATGCTCTACCATTAAACAACACCTTGCCATAATCTCACCTTATGGGCAGTCTTAAAAGCTCCATCAGTTGACAAGCATGCAGCAAATCTTCAGGTGACAACAGCTAGAAACAAGATAACATTTTAAAACCAGAATTACAACCCCACCCCTACTTATATCTACTACCAACAAATAATTCTTGGGGTCCCTAACTATAACATAACAATTTTTACTCCTTGTATTAGTACTTAGTATGCATTGCTAATATGTATGACAACAGGGTACACAATATAGAAATGCTCATTTATTTCAAGTAAAAGCCTATTTTTAAGTCATAATGTGTGTGGGTTTGTTGTCAAATTTTGTGACTCAAGTTTCTAACGGAGCTTTCACATTTAAGCTTAGCAGTGAAGTACATCTCTGTATACAATCTATTTAAATATTACACTGAAAAATTATTGCAGTTAACTGTGAGTCACAATAGCAATTACTTGATTTAATCAGGTCATCTGATGCACACAAATGTACATTTGTAAACTTGTTTATTATAAATATAAGGGTTTTTATTGTTTTATTTAGAAATTTTCCTTTACAAACCTCCATGCCTCGAGCTCTGTTGACACGACAGTAAACATCAGTCAGGGTCATCATTCCTCCACTTTCCTGAAACAAAATGTTGCATACGCTCATTTTATTTTAAGATAATTCTTTTATTATGGATAATAGTTGGTAGAATATCAAATGCATTTAAAAAAAAACATTTTTAAAAACTCAGCAATGCAAAATTTAGTGTACAAAAGATGGTAAAAGTATTTTAAGAATAATTAAAAAATAATTATTCAACACTAAATTTTCTGAATTATTTACATAACCCTTACCAAGAATATAAAAAAATGTGCAAAATCTATGATAAACAGAACTAAAAAGTACAGATGTTTGTTCTTTAACTACTAGAAATTTTTGACAAGACTGGCTGAAGATCTATAGGGCATGTACATTTTTAGCTGACTAAACAAAAAATTAAAAAAAAAAAGGCAATGGAGAGATACATTTTTATAATTGTCACAACTATCTATTACCATCAGTATTAAAGGCTTGGTTAATAAAATTAGTAAAATAATAACTAAGTATTACCATTATAAGCTTAGTTAATAGATATTTTACAAATATTCACAACGGTGACAGGACAAATGATCTCAGACAAAATATCTCAGACAAAATATCTCACGGACAAATGATCTCAGGACAAATGATCTCAGGACAAAAGATCTCAAGGACAAATGATCTCACGGACAAAAGATACCAGGACAAAATATATCAGGACAAATGATATCATGGACAAATGATCTCAGACAAAATATCTCACACCTAAATTTTAATAGTGTATTGGGTGACTTTAGTTGATCTGAAAATTTTTTATTAACTGTTGTATGGTTTTGTTTAATATGTTTAATATTGTTTATAGGCCCATATGATAATTGTAAGAAATGTTTGCCGTATAAATTTATCATATTGCATTTTAAAATTAGGATTATTATTATAGAAGATTAAAGTAATTGTTCGATAGACAGCATAGGCGCGCTTGCCAAACATGAGACAATCCAACCATGTCAGGTGGACGAAACTAGATCAAAGAGGATGAAATAACAATAGAGAAACACCTTCGTAACAAGGTGGCTGCCCGCTTTGATGGTAGAGACATGCCTTAAGGGAAAGACATTCGCCCTCCATGAACAATACAACTAATAGCTAAATTCAATAGTTATGCGTCGGTCACACCTTAGTGATCAGGTGACAAATGCTTATTTAAGACAAACAGCGGTCATCGCGGAGTTAGATCATGTCGAGCAAGAGTTCACACAATACATGATCACATAGTATTGGAGAGGTGTGATCATAACGATGTACTGTCAGCAAAGAAACGTAAACGTTATGTTTGTGTTGATCATGCAATAAAAACAATAATTTTACGTTACCAACCTAGAGACCCATTAACATTTTTGAGAGATATTTCTCATGTTTTAAACATTATTGTTGTATAGCTACCGTTACTTTGTTTTATACATTATCATTTATCATACCTTTCAGGCTAAAGGAGAAAGTTTGTTTTAATTTTTATTTTATCAAATCAAAGGCCATTACAAAGATTAAGTTAAATAAATCTCTTGATGGTTTGTTAAGTTTAACAAATTCATTTTATTCACAATTATTATGCGTAAAGAAAGTAAATAAAACCATATTGACAGTCAATTTAAAAAAAAGTTCAAATGAACTAAAATCATTGTACATACTATTAACATTTTGCTGTGAGATATTTTGTCTGAGATATTTTGTCTGAGATCATTTGTCCGTGGTATCATTTGTCCTGATATATTTTGTCCTGGTATCTTTTGTCCTTGAGATTATTTGTCCTTGAGATCAATTGTCCTGAGATCATTTGTCCTGAGATCATTTGTCCGTGAGATATTTTGTCTGAGATCATTTGTCCTGAGATCATTTGTCATGGAACCTATACAACTATGTATTACCATTATAGGCTTAGTTAATAGATATTTAAAAAATAGTCACAACTATATATTACCATTATAGGGTTAGTTAATAGATATTTTTAAAATATTCACAACTATGTATTACCATTATAGGCGTATTTGATAGATATTTTAAAAATATTAACAACTATGTATTACCATTATAGGCTTAGTTAATAGATATTTTAAAAAATACAACTATGTATTACCATTATAGGCTTAGTCAATAAACTAGAAAGTTGTCTGGCCAACTCGGTGTAATATTTATCTCCTGTTCCATGGGTTTCCTTTGTAACTGGATTGGGTATACCCATACTCAGCAAGTATGACTTGAACTTAACTGTCTATTGAAATAACAAACAATATTACCATTTCTAAAAATGTATAGGATTCAATTTAGTTATAAATAAACTTGAAATTTTACCCCTTTAGTGTAAGCAACTTACCTCATCTTCAGTAATCTCCCCTTGTACATCTTTGATTTTTGCAGCAATGGATTTACTTAAGCTGACCATTTCTCTAGCCTTAATAAGTTAAAGATAGAACAATGTCAGTTAAAATAAATAAATGAAATATCTTGTAAATGTAACTGATAACTTTGCACATATGAAATATACTACAGGTAGAATTTTAACATTTAAAATGGTTAACTTGCCTTCTCCATTAAATTTCTGAGGTCTTGAAAAGCTTGAGATATATTTTTATTTGTTTCCTTGTTTTTTTGCTGGATAGATCTTTCTATGCCCACAATGCCAGGTCTTTGTCGAGGTAACTGTAAAGATTTATTATATATCATAAAAGTGTAAAAAAAAAAGTTATATAGCTTTTTACAGCAGTAAAAGTGAAAGTGATAAAAAAAACCAAGAAATATAGCTAGCACACTTTGTCTAGGTAAAATGCTTTCACAACAAAAGAAGGAGCTCTTAATTGCAAACATTCATTTATCTTATTCATTTAAAGTGATTACTGGAAAAAAAATATTTAAAACTGATTCCCATCGGAAGGCTACAGGTGTAAATTTAAATTTGGTTAATTTGGCTACAGGTATAAATTTAAAAGTAGTGACAGGTATTTTTACTACAGGTATAAATTTGAACATAGTTACAGGTACTAAGTATGGGGAATTTTAAAAATTAAAACTAACAAGCTTTATTTTAATATCTACACATTAAAAAACATATATTACTTGAAAAAAAAAAGTATATTTCTGGAATTTTTTTGGTAATATTATTTTAAAACTTATGAAATGAAAATTTAAAATGCTAATTAAACAGTATTTTTGTATTTACACTTAACACTATTTATATGAGAGCAATTAGCAGATATGCTTACAAGTCCAGGGTTGCTGCTAGCATTAGAAGTTTGGGGTGCAGATTGTGACTCCCATTTCTTCTTTTTCACTTCTTCCTTTAGACGCTGCATGAACTGTAGTGGCAACAAAAAAAAATAATGTAAAGAGAATCAAAGTTAAGCTGACTTTATAAAATACAACCAAGATTTGCAATTTATGTAGTGACAATTTGTTTTTAAATAATTTAAAATAACAACCATATTACATGCCTCTTGTTGTCCATATTCTCTGAAAGACAGTCTGATGTAGCTATGGGAACTGTGAGAAACTGGACCAGGTGGTTGCCCTGGAAACGGCTTAACCAAGTGGACTACAATTTTGGCACTGCAATGGTATATCAAATAATCTGTTAGAGTTTTAAAAATTGACAAAAAATTTAAAACAAGGTTTTAGAGGTTTCCACGACAACCAAACTAATTTTCTTTTTTGTTTTTGAGTGTTAGTACTTAACTTTAATGTGCTAAAAGCTAAAAATTAGCATTATATATTAAACAAATATTTAAAATAAATAGTGAGCACATTTTTAAAGACATTTCAGAGAAGTATCTTGAGATAGGGAACAGTGATGTACTTTATTTATAGAAAAAAAAACAATGACAGAAAATGTGGATATTTAATAAAAAGTTTAAAGAAGCAGATAAGGTGTGTACTGATCACACATCTATTATAAAGGTGGGACATTTACTTTGTGTTACACACAGGAAACAAAAATGTAATGAGTAATCGAGCTTGGCCTACCTCTTTGTTAAACCCCCTGGTTGTTCATCAAGTGATGAGATATTTGCCAAGGGTAGACTTATGACGCAATTCTGGTAAGTATAATGAATTGAATCAGATACTATTTATTGTCTTTAATAACATTTTTGTATAATAAAATCATAAAATAGTCTTGAAGAGAAAACGTTTCAATGGATTTTCAAATTAATTCCTCACACTGCAACCAATGTCAACATTGATGATTTTCTTGTTCAAACAAATATAAAATCTTATTACACAAAAAATTAGATAAAATGGGTTCTAGAGTAACCTAGTTGCTTTAAATAATCAACCATGCATGGTAAAAGAACATATACAACTTTAGTAAACACAACAGACCAAGTTTGACAAAAACCAATACCAATTTACCCTGTTTTTCTGGTCCTGCCAAAGTAAGCGGTGTGTGGTCAGCTTGAGAAGTCCATTAGTGAAAGCCGTCTGTAATATGAAAGTAAAGTTTAAACACATTTTTAAAGTAACTTTTTATTTTATAATAATGCAATTTGGTTTTAAAAAAAAATAAAGATAGTTTTTCTTTTACTTGTGAAGGGCCACACTCTCACATCAAGCAAAAGTAAAATGATGTATGGACGGAAGAACGCCCAAGTAAATATAGAAGATATTGGGGAAATAAAATAATTAGTAATGGCACAATGGTAAAATACAGAGAAAACGACTTGATAAATCATACCTGAGCTAATAAATAATGAAGCTGATGATGCTTTCTAAAATTTATTATTCAAACAACTTTCAATAAAGTGATGACAATATTTTTAAAAAAAAATCCAAAGAGCATACGTATACATTCATACAAATATATATATATATATATATATATATATATATATATATATATATATATATATATAAATAAATATATAGTCCTATATATATATATATAGTCCTATATATATATATATATATATATATATATATATATATATATATATATATAGATATATATATATAAATTTAGCTTCTTATTCCTTTCTGCTGCCTGGGCACATAGTGAAGAGTTCACAGTTTGCCATAATTTGTGGCTATTTAATTGTGATTCCAGTAATGAGCTTTGAGGAAGCACTACACACCCTTGTGCTGGATCAAAATATATACTATAGCTTAAATCCACCACTTTCTTGACCCCCCCCCCCCCCCCCCCATAGAAGTATTTTCTTTAAACTTTGAATATTAAAGGGCCCATACAGATAATAGCTCAGGGCCATAACAAGTCTAAATCCTCTACCAATTTATCTTTCTTTCAAATGAAACGTTTGGTCTCCTCTTACTTTTCCTACACCCTCCTACTGACCTACTGTACTTCACTCAATAAATTACTGGAAATTATCTACATACTTTCAATAATGTCAGGCTAATGCAGAACTAACTAGTCTACTGGAGTCAGCATTTATAAGTACTAGCCTTATTACTTAATACTAAGTCTATAAGTATAAGTCTAGACCATAGGCCTAAGTGGGGACGCCGTGACCTAGCGGTATAGCAATAAACTGCTAACTGGAAAGTCCTGAGTTCGAATCTGGATTCAAGTCAGTAGCACGTCTCTGGTGGCTACCTTACGGGTGTTAGGGAAAATAAAGGTGGCTGGTCATAGTGCTGATCTTACTATAGTACTATCCCTTCACATGCCGAGGTAATTGAAACCAAATGTGTCTAAGGCACCAACAGGAAAAGATAATAATCATTGATAGGCCTAACTAGAAGTTTAGATCTAGAAATTTCTAGATCTAGTGATTAGTAATGTAATGTTAACACTTATAAGTACAGTGATCTAGATCTAATCCACCTTGTCTTGGCCATCGTAAACTGCCACTCCCCCTCTCTGTTCAACAAGACTTTCATCTGGATACAAGCTACCATCACACCAGGAAAAACGATCCATCACTACACAATAACAATAACCAACATTGCCATCAGCTAGTTTTCCTTGATAGATTTACCTAGAGATAGAAATCTAGATAAAATGTAACAATAAAAAATCACATTGAGTGTTGACATCATTTGTCATGTATCATATTGAATCAATATTGATTAATTTAATATAGATGTCTAGATCAATATGTATTATTATTATATATTAATATATACCTATAGGGCCTATTAATAATATTGTTATTACTATATACATACATGATGATCAGATATAGGCCTAAATATATCTAGACTAGTATTACTATACTATAAGTTATAACTCTATTGTATACACTACTATACAGTTTACAGTTTAATATTTTGTATATATATTGAATATTAGGCCTATATATAATAATAATATTTAGGCATAGGCCTAGACATATATATATATATATTATTAATAATATTGTTATTAATATACAATGTATATTATACATAGAGTCTAGAGTCTAGGCTAATAATATTAATAATAATAAATAGATCTAGAATCTAGATCTAGATATATTAATATCTACTATATCTAGATACACTACTAGTACTAGATCTAGATCTAGATTCTTCTAGTCCTTAGACTAAAGTCTAGTGTAGATTTAGATCTGGATTCTAGATCTAGATTCCTAGATTTCTAGATCTAGTCTAGATCTAGATCTAGTCTAGATCTGGTCTAAAATTTTAGGCCTAATAATAAGTAAAAGTAAAGTAAATTATCGTAAATTATCGTAAGGCTCTACCGAGTGAAGAGAAAGGCCTGACTAGATGCCTGCCCAATTAATAATTAAATAATTATCTCATGAATTTGGGAATGAATAAAGTTTGGATTACTATTTTTAGACGTAGAAAAAGCAGACTTGCCATATAGGAAATGCACAACATTTCTCAACCATTAATATTATTAATCTTTTATAAATATCCTTTGACGAACCCTCACGTGGGAGCCTTTTGTGTAATTTAACTTTGAAAAAAAAACAAAGGCACAATTATATATATATATATATATATATATATATATATATATATATATATATATATATATATATATGCGAGCTATCCTATTTAGTTTATCTTATATAAATGATGCTTCATTAAAATCAGCGCTCCTTTAACACAAATTATAGACATACATAGCTAAATACATCTTATAGGCCTAGATTGACCTAGAATTTATATCACTGAACTGATAAGCCGTCATGCCCCTTTTTTAAAGTCTGAAAACAGAGCTACATTTCTATACAACTAAAAACATAATGTTTATGTTATCTATAACTAGCCAATCTTACGTCATATTTTTAGACGATTAATACACTTCAAGAACATCTAAAACATTGATGACATTAACAGTTTATTGTTTAAAAATAATATAAGCTGATAGAATCTAGTTTTTTGGTGACTAAAATATGAATGCACAATTTCTAAATATTTAACTGGCAACTCAAATTGGAGGTCAGTAAATAGGAGGACACTCACGTTCCTTAGGAGAAGAAACTAGACTCTATAATCTAGAATGTTGACCAAAATAACACCACTGCTTAGGATCGCACCTCGTACGTATTTTGACAGCTAATTTTTTTTTTTTTAAATTCTAGAAATCTTAATTTTTATCTAGAAAAATATCTAATTATTGATTAGTTAGTTAGTTATAAAGTTAGGCCTAACGGCTAAGCCGCTAAGTTACCGACTACAGACTCACTACAGAGCAAATAAAATTCCAAAACTAAAACTTAGTAAAACAACTCACTCATCCCAGTCATTGTCAGCCAATTTGTAGTTGCTAAAAAAATGAGTTGTTAGTAACTTATTAGACTTCTAGATCTAGATCTAGATCTATCTTACTAGATCTAGATCTAGATTTCTAGATCTAGATTGGAATCGAAATTCTAGATCTAATTTTGAATAAAATAAAATTTTCTAGAAACAGAAAGAGTTCTCTTTAAACTTTAAGTTAAGACCGCTAGGAGTATTGGTGCAGTAATGAGTAATGAGTATTGTAATTATTAATTATTCTAATTAATTGACATTTTATGATTTTAATCCATTTTCAATCATCAGTCAATTATTGTTTTATTGAGATTTTAGTGCTGTAAAAATTTTGCAGCCATTTTCTCATTTTAACACTATAACACCATCCAGCCTGTTTTTTTAATCCATTGGAATGAACCCCAGAGTTTGGAGAGTCCGTCTCAGGGGTTTGTCAGAGGTCAAGACAAACATCCAACTCCTATAATTAAATTCTTGATTGGATTTTCAAATAGCTGTTAGTGTTGAGGAGTTTTAGGAATTGTCTGTTTTGTTTTTTAAAAAAATCTTGCTGTTAATTTAGGCATCCAACAAGCTCGTATGAGCCATGGAGTCCCTGCACACTGGAAAACCATGCGTCAGATATGTGAAGAGAACAAGAATCACATGAACTTTTTACCAGTCCCTGAAGGCTCATGGTCTCAAGCTTATAAAGCAAAGAATGCCAAGATCAACCTGTATTTACTTTCGTCTGCACTAGCCTTCATCGCTACATTTGGATATGTAAGTCTTTCTTAAAAGTGAAAATAAACTTCGCTTTATTAGATTGTACTATAATAATTATCACAAGCTACTTTAAAGCGTTATTTTTTAAATGTTTACATTTAATTAGGCTTTTCCATAGCTTATGGGCATATTAAGTCATTATTAGAAACTAATTTTGTTTACTATATTTATACTCATTTTTTTTTTCATTTTTCAGCTGTACAAAAATGGTTTCATGTACCTACATTCAGCACCTCCAATGTACAACAGCAAGCCACAATAATTTATAAAGTACATTAAATTAAAGTTATCAAGTAATTTTTTCCTCACTGTAGTGAAAATATTTTATTTTATTACAAGCCCAGGGAACTTATTTTTGCCATGCATATCTTTTTGTTTCTACTGTTATAAAACACATTGATCCTTATATTTGATCAATAATTCCAGTGTTAGCAGTGGCAGAAAAATATTGAATAATTTTGTGATGTTAAAAATGACTCTCCCAGAGCTTAGTTAAAAAAGATTTGCTAGCTTTAATGTTCTTATAGCTTTCAAAAGTTAAATAAATGCATCAGAAATTTAGCGTGGAAATTGTTGAAAGTGTAGTTATGTTGAGTTTTAATATTGTAATAAACTTTTTGAACTTAATTTTTCTTGTTATCAATCTGTTGTTTTGAGACAGGTCATTCTGTAAATGTGGTTGTCCTAGCACTAGCAGTGATTGGTTCAAAACATTTTTTGTTTTAGATTTTGATCTCATACAGTTTATTAGAGAACAGTAATGTTGATGAATGAACAGGTGGGTTCTTCAGAAGTAGGTACCACGTTTAGAGAGTTATTTGAACACAGAAACTGGGGTATTGATCAAATGCTTTACCAATACAAGTGGACCTTGCCCATGTAATAAACATTTTTTCATTTTAATTTCAACAAGACTGACAAAATTAAAACATTTGATTTATTAAGTTACAAAGAAATCTTATGAAATGCAGTACATTATTTCATTTTGCTATGATTCACTACACTCAAAAAATAAAATACACAAGAAAAATTTCTCATGACTCTGCTTTTTAGTGGGAATCAATCAGAATAACACTGGATAGGTACAAAAATTAGACCTTAAAGTTACAAATAAACTGAAAGCAAAATAATACTGAAATGTGTACAAGCACTAGTTTAAAATGTTTTCAAATGTCTATTTTCAATCTGATTCAAACAATGCAATAGGAGTAGGTTATTTCCCCAGTAATGAATTAATCAAACCAGATCTATGGATAGGTTTTTCAGGATGAAAACAAATTAGCTTGGACCTTTCTGTAGCCAATTTAGAACATTTTAAATAATTATTTGCAGTTACCAAAGAGTCATTGTATTATTTGCAATTGAAAAAGTGACTAGCCTTGTATCTCTTAAATTTAATGTAACTATAACTTAAATTCTAAATGCCTCAATACTTCATACATATTTACTGATGTAAAAATCTGAAGTAATGTAAAACAACCTGAATGTAATAAATGTGCTGCTGCTTTTAAGCAAATTTAATGATAAAAATGATTATAGTTGACTTTTAAGGCCTCTTATTTAATAAGTCTAACTACAACTACTACAAGTGTAACAAAGTTGGAAAAACAACAATATCATCAAAGAAAAAAAGACCAAAAATGTACTGAAATGCATTGAGGACTTTCATCAATAAATTCTTTGATAACATTAACACTGCAACAGAGGGTACACATCTTGGAAAAATCAGTTGCAGAAACATAAAAAGCTATTTGATTATCACAGGACTATTTAATTAATATCACAAAAACTTTTTGCAATTATTTATTGTAATCATTTATACATTCCTAATCCTAGGCAAAATATTATTTAAATGTTTTCTGAATTTATAAATGTTAATATTTCAATGCAAAACTAACAACCAAAAAAATATTTGTGTCACAAAAAATCCACCTCTGTGAGATGTCACTAATGGACACACCCTAATAAAAAATAGTTCTTCAAAAGTGGATGGGGTCTAAAATCCAAAATGCTTGTGGACGTCATAAATGGATGACTCCAATATTTTCAAGAAAAACATTACTTTCCAGTGTCCTAACTTGAGCAAGTGTAATTTTCAAGGTAGGCAAAAAATTGTGCAAACACAAGTTTGAAAAAAAATTTAAATGCAAAATATCAAATTTTAAAATTAAACCATCTTTAAAAATAGATGTTTTTATAGACAACAATTATAAAGGAAGCACAATAGGCCTATTGTTTAAGCTTATCACAATCCTATTCACATAAAATGGTATATTCAACTTTCAAGTTTAAACTAGTACCAAGCTGGATGTTTAAGCCTAACACAGCATTTACACTTACTGATGTAAACTATACATGTCTAGAAATAATAACTCGCAACACGTAAGCATACATGTTAAATATTAAAACTTGTAGGTTTTTTTTTCTTCGTAAGTGTAAATACTGTATAAACTTATTCTGTTGTGTATAATGCCTAACCATTTGGTATTCCATCCTCTAATTAGGTAAACTTGAGTAATAGTAATAGATTGAATTGATCGACCAATAAAGATCTGAGGTAAAAAAAAAAAGCATGTAAGAATAGAAGTAATGAAAGAGGCTGACCATTGGTCATCTGAAGAAAAGTGCATAGGCAAAAACATGGAATGAAGTCACTTGAGTACAGCCAAGGTGTTAAAATGCAGTGTAAAAAATATATAAAGGTATAAGCATTGACTGGACATTTACTAATGCACATTGTAAATAAATTAGTACACAAAGGTAACCTAACCAGGTCTCCAATGTCACTAAAAGATTCACATATTTTGATCTTATTAAAATTTTAAATTGAAGAGTTATTTTCTAAAACTAAGTGATGAAATATTAATAAGTTCTATATATGCAGATATAGAGCTTGTTAAGAAATATTCAACCAAAATGTGATATGGATAAATTTTGAAAAAATGTATCAACTTAAATTCTTAAAAACTAATTAATAATGAACATAAATATGCAAAATAACCCAGAAAAAAATAAATTAATAAAATAAAAGCTGATGTATTTAATAAAATGTACAGGAAACTATCTGTAATAGTAAAACACCATGACTATCTTTAAGATAGATTCTTTTACATACAATATCAAAGAGTAATAGTAAAACATGATAACTATCTTTAAGATAGATTCTCTTACATACAATATTGAAAAGTAACAGTAAAACACCACAACTATCTTTAAGATAGATTCTCTTACATACACTATTGAAAAAAACCGTTTCTTTAAGTTATCAGACACATGACATAAACTTTAAAATGTTGACAATATCAATATAGTACATCACTTAAAACCGAGGCACCCATGCCTTAGTTTTCTTTACATTTAATCAGTCAATATATTAATTTAAAGCAACCTGAGTAAAAAAAAAATGCTGGGTATATTAACTTGACGTTATTAAAAATATCTAACATTAAAAAATAATTGTCGCGTACAAGCATATGATGTTTTATTTTATTCAAGACTGAAAATATTTTATTAAGTGTGAAATTATAATGAAAAACTGAATCTAGTCTAAACTTTTTATTCTTTTGAAAGCTCAGAAAAGTAGACATTAAAAAATATTTTAAAAGTTACAATGTTATTAATAAAAAGAAAAGCCCAAAGAAAATAAAAATAATTTTAAAATCTTTAAAGCACTTATCTAATGGTGCAAAAACACATTCAGTAAAAACATTTTTAGTAGTAGTGTTCAATCTAAAGCCACATTTAGTAATTATTTAGTTAAAGGAATGGGTCTGCGTTTCACAACATTTAATTTACAACCTTTGCCAGCATGAATTTAACCGCTTTCTCATCTCGAAGAACTCTAGGGACTTTGTATTGATTAGAAGCCGCAGCTGGGTGGTCCAACATGAACCGGCGCAGTGCAACAAAGGATCCTCTCTCTACAATGTGTACTTGAACAGGGTCAATACTCCGCTTGTGTCGAAATGAGGAGTAAGGGTACGAGTGGACCATAAGAGCATCATCCAGCTAAAGAGAAAAAACAATCATGAGAATGTCAACATAAATGAAACAGTGTTGCAAAAGCTAAATAAATGGAAACAAATAAACAAGAAGCAAAAGAAATAATACCATAGTTTTTTGTGCATTTGTTATAGATTTGACTACTTGTGTTCCATCTTCATTTTCCAGTTCAATGAAGACATGGTAACAAGGCTGAGAGGTTTTGAATTCTGAAAAATAGTTGTGAAAATCTAGTTTTTTATTGAAATATTAAATTAAGTTGTATTAATTGCTTAAAATAACAGTGGATATATTAATATACCTCAGAAAGATTTTAAAATGGAAAGATAAACTTATTACAAAAATATTTGTATACTTAATTTACATCAGGATTTTAATTAACTCATTTTTGATCAGACTATTGCATGAATACATATAAGTAATAGCAAATGGATGTGAAAAAAATCAAGCAAAAATAAATTGTAAAGGAAAAGTTATTTATTTAAAAACTACCTTTGGGCACATCCAGACCATCTAGAATGACACTTTCCAAACAACAGTAGTCTGCTAGACTGATATTTGTCCAGATTTTTGTAACAGCGCCTTTTAAAACTTCATAAAACATTGCTTCTGATATTTTTTCTCCTCGAACATTTAAAAACTGACCTTTCCTGGATAAGAAATAAACAAATCATTGAAAATATTTCCCCCAATTTTCTTAGCTATCATTGTATGAGTCTTGTAATTTGGGTAAACACATTTCTTAATCATGAACTTGGTTAGAATGCAATGTAACCAGTAAGAAGAGGAATTCCTAAAATGCAACTAGGTTTATGTCTTTAATCAAAATGTGTAGATATTTTTTATTTAGGGCTTTTTGTGACTTGTTTATATTTAATACATTTAACCACAATAATCCTGTGTTACTAACCTGTACTTAAATTCTACAATTGGACACTGATTATAAAATGTTTGTGTCTGTTTTTTTAAAACAAAATGTAACAACTATAATCCTGTATTACTGACCTGTACTTAAATTCTACAACTAGTCACTGATTATAAAATGTTTGTGCCTGTTTTAAACTGTTTATTTAAAAACAATGTAACCACTATAAGCCTGTGTTACTAACCTGTACTTAAATTCTACAACTAGACACTGATTATAAAATGTTTGTGCCTGTAAATTTAAAAACAAATGTAACCAACTGTATGCCTGTGTAACTAACCTGTACTTAAATTCTACAATTGGACACTGATTATAAAATGTTTGTGCATGTATATTTAAAAACAATGTAACCACTGTAAGCCTGTGTTACTAACCTGTACTTAAATTCTACAATGGGACACTGATTATAAAATGTTTGTGCATGTATATTTAAAAACAATGTAACCACTGTAAGCCTGTGTTACTAACCTGTACTTAAATTCTACAATGGGACACTGATTATAAAATGTTTGTGCATGTATATTTAAAAACAAATGTAACCAACTGTATGCCTGTGTTACTAACCTGTACTTAAATTCTACAATGGGACACTGATTATAAAATGTAACCAACTGTAAGCCTGTGTTACTAACCTGTACTTAAATTCTACAATGGGACACTGATTATAAAATGTTTGTGCCTGTTTATTTAAAAACAAATGTAACCAACTGTATGCCTGTGTTACTAACCTGTACTTAAATTCTACAATGGGACACTGATTATAAAATGTAACCACTGTAAGCCTGTGTTACTAACCTGTACTTAAATTCTACAATGGGACACTGATTATAAAATGTAACCAACTGTAAGCCTGTGTTACTAACCTGTACTTAAATTCTACAATGGGACACTGATTATAAAATGTTTGTGCCTGTTTATTTAAAAACAAATGTAACCAACTGTATGCCTGTGTTACTAACCTGTACTTAAATTCTACAATGGGACACTGATTATAAAATGTAACCACTGTAAGCCTGTGTTACTAACCTGTACTTAAATTCTACAATGGGACACTGATTATAAAATGTAACCAACTGTAAGCCTGTGTTACTAACCTGTACTTAAATTCTACAATGGGACACTGATTATAAAATGTAACCAACTGTAAGCCTGTGTTACTAACCTGTACTTAAATTCTACAATGGGACACTGATTATAAAATGTAACCAACTGTAAGCCTGTGTTACTAACCTGTACTTAAATTCTACAATGGGACACTGATTATAAAATGTTTGTGCCTGTTTATTTAAAAACAAATGTAACCAACTGTATGCCTGTGTTACTAACCTGTACTTAAATTCTACAATGGGACACTGATTATAAAATGTTTGTGCCTGTTTATTTAAAAACAAATGTAACCAACTGTATGCCTGTGTTACTAACCTGTACTTAAATTCTACAATGGGACACTGATTATAAAATGTAACCACTGTAAGCCTGTGTTACTAACCTGTACTTAAATTCTACAATGGGACACTGATTATAAAATGTAACCACTGTAATCCTGTGTTACTAACCTGTACTTAAATTCTACAATGGGACACTGATTATAAAATGTAACCAACTGTAAGCCTGTGTTACTAACCTGTACTTAAATTCTACAATGGGACACTGATTATAAAATGTTTGTGCCTGTTTATTTAAAAACAAATGTAACCAACTGTATGCCTGTGTTACTAACCTGTACTTAAATTCTACAATGGGACACTGATTATAAAATGTAACCACTGTAAGCCTGTGTTACTAACCTGTACTTAAATTCTACAATGGGACACTGATTATAAAATGTAACCAACTGTAAGCCTGTGTTACTAACCTGAACTTAAATTCTACAATGGGACACTGATTATAAAATGTAACCAACTGTAAGCCTGTGTTACTAACCTGTACTTAAATTCTACAATGGGACACTGATTATAAAATGTAACCAACTGTAAGCCTGTGTTACTAACCTGTACTTAAATTCTACAATGGGACACTGATTATAAAATGTTTGTGCCTGTTTATTTAAAAACAAATGTAACCAACTGTATGCCTGTGTTACTAACCTGTACTTAAATTCTACAATGGGACACTGATTATAAAATGTTTGTGCCTGTTTATTTAAAAACAAATGTAACCAACTGTATGCCTGTGTTACTAACCTGTACTTAAATTCTACAATGGGACACTGATTATAAAATGTAACCACTGTAAGCCTGTGTTACTAACCTGTACTTAAATTCTACAATGGGACACTGATTATAAAATGTAACCACTGTAATCCTGTGTTACTAACCTGTACTTAAATTCTACAATGGGACACTGATTATAAAAGCCCACCACTTGGACAACATCTCCAAATCTATAACGGTACAAACAGCTTGGGTTTGTGATGACAAGTTCGTAAGTCTTGCCTTCTTTAAGCTGGTTCAAAATAAACATTTTTAAAAAGTCAGGAGTGGACCAGAGACTTGTGATTTTAATTATAAAATTATCAAGTTAATGATGAGTAAATACTGTTATTAGGGGATAGAGAGTTTAGGAAGTAGAACAAACTGCTAACTCAAAAGTCTTGAGTTCGGATCTGGGCTAAAATCTATAGGAAATCTTAAGAAATGAACTAGTAACAACATGTTACCCATACATTTGATTTTCTAAATGGATTAACATTCACTTTAAACCTACTCAACTATTTGTCACATGTAAGCATTTAAAAATTATAAATTTATAAAGTGTATGCACTTTCGATGATATTCCAATGAAAAAAGAAAACAAAATTTTTTTAAAAACCCACAAATTTTAAATAAAACAAAACAAAAATTCACAAACCAACCTGGTGCATCAGGTAAGTAGCAGGCTCCTCACTGTCCATCAATTGTTCGGGTATGAACTCAAAAAACTGTGTGCGAGGGTGAAGCAGATATCTAGACGGGTAACTTTTAGGCCAAATGTTTATACCAAGCAGACCCTCAGATGCAGCATAAATAGGGGAATATAAGGGAACTCCTGAAAAAGTAACACACCATTTTAGGGGAATATAAGGGAACTCCTGAAAAAGTAACACACCATTTTAGGGGAATATAAGGGAACTCCTGAAAAAGTAACACACCATTTTAGGGGAATATAAGGGAACTCCTGAAAAAGTAACACACCATTTTAGGGGAATATAAGGGAACTTCGGAAAAGTTAACACACCATTTTAGGGGAATATAAGGGAACTGAAAAAGTAACACACCATTTTTGGGGAATATAAGGGAACTTTTGAAAAATTAACACATCATTTTAAATCAGAAATATATACATACAAAAAAAAAACAGGCCACCTATCTGAGAGAAACTAGTAGTGGTAATATGAAGTTAGTCATAACTACATTTTACAATAAAAAATAATAAAGATTTCAGTGTTGAATTATTTTTTTAATTAAATGTAAAACTAATGCTTATATGTCTATCTATGTCCCACAAAGCTCATACATTTCTTGTAAGACAACATGTCTGCCCAATGTGTCTTGGGCACTAAAGGAGAAAGTTGATAAAAACAAAATGTCCATAAGACAGGGTCATGATTCAATAGAATTCCTGTGAAAATGTTAATACAAAGTCAATAGAAAAAGGCTCATAACCTTACAGTTCAAGGTAGAATGTCAACAGCCAAGCCAGAAAAAAATAGGAAACTAAGCAATGACCACTGTTGAAGTTAGAAACTGAGAGTACTTTTGATGTTCACTTACCATACAGAAGATACTAAAATAGTAAGGATAAAATATGGAGATCATCTATGACAGTTTTAAAATATATTACAAAATTTGCAGTAAATTTTGAAAAAATATTTGTATTCCGATACATTGAACAAAAACCTAAGAATGAAGGAAACATTAATTATAATGTCATAGTACTGTTTTTTTTTAAAACAGGCGTAATTGTCCTATTACAGCTTACCTTTGCAGTAGCCATTCCTCAACTTTTCTGCATAGAGATCAAACGTTCCGGTATCGGCCCCCAAAAGTAAGTAAAGTTCTGGCCAAATCCTTTGAGCCAGGCCAACTTTCCCCCCTTCAGCGGCTTCACGAATTTCACTGGCTCGCTTAGGATTAGGTTTCAGCATTTGGTTTAATTTTTCCCGAACAGAATCTTCTATGTTAAGCTTTGGATCAATGGCGCCCTTCTCAATGTCTTCAGCAAGCTGGGGTAATTGCAGTTCTAATGTGGAGAAAGCATTGAATATAATGGAGGCAAAATTGGCCTCAATCATTCCAACATGGGGGTCAAGCAAGGCAAACAAAAGATACAGGTACAAGGCCTCAGGTTCAGACCTCACCTCGTATGCAACTTCTGGTGTTGTATAAATATGAAGAAGATCCTTTGACCTGTACATACAAATAAAAATGAAGACATATTTTTTTAATGAATGATTTTAACTGTAGTTATTAAGCTTCATCTAAAATAAAGCGTGGGTTTTTTCATATATGTGTAACAGTAAGGGTTGGGATGGCACTTCCAAAGCATTGAGCTTTAATTTAATGTCAGCAGAGCCTTCTTAATAGTAAAGTTAATCTAAGCCAACCTGGCTATATCATGTGACAGCAGAGAAGAAACCTAAAGGCAATTGTATTACACTGATGGTATGTTGATAAGACCCAAACTTTCTTTTTTAAATGAAAATAACTAATTTATATGGAAATGTAAAAAAAATATCAGGATAACCAACAAAAAAAAACAACAACAACCAAGAGTTACTAACCTGTCTGGTGAAGCAGAGTTTGGCCCTATAGGGACATCATCCAGTGTGTACCTCCAATTGGGGGTGTAAAATAGTTTCAGGTTTTTGTGGAGTAGATGAGCTTCTGGGTAGGCTTCAGTCATACACTTGTAAAGTACAGAGATACCCTAAGGAATCAATCACACACTTGTTAAGTACAGAGATACCCTAAGGAATCAATCATAAACTTGTGAAGTAAACAGTTACCCTAAGGAATGAATCACACATTAATAGAGATTTTTTTTGTTCTAATAAATTAAATGTAGGACGATTAATGCATTAAACTACTATTAATTACTATTTATAGGCCTCCATTTTTAAATTGATTTTCTAAACATTAACATATATATTTTATATTACCATGTAAAGTAATGAGAAATTAACGAGATCAGAAACAAAATTTGCAATGCTACATAAAAAAATAAAAACAAAGGAAAGAAAATTTGGGGTCGGCGTGGTCGAGCTGCTCAAGCTCATTGTTTCTAAACTGTAAAGTCTTGAGTTCGAACCCCCGGGCAGATGAGGCTCTTTAACTCGGGACAGCCACTATTCTAGGAGAGACAACTCCAAAATCAAACAACTGCTGCCTTGTAGTTTGTTCTTGGTTGGACAAAGGATATGGAAGCAAATCCAAAAAGAAAAGCAGGCTGAAATCGGAGTCAATGACCTCAATGGTGCATAACCAGTTGACACATATACTTAATTGTGTTGGAGGGGATCCCTTCCAATTCTAAAATTAAGAATGAAGCAGTAGAAGAAGAAAGAATTTGCAAAGCTACTTAAAAAATAAAAATTCAAACAAAGGAAAAGTGTCGTGTAGATCGTGCATGCCATTACCTCAAGGAAAAAGAGTTTGGTTTGTTTCATTAACATGGGCACAATTTTACTAGTCCCAGAAGTTCCAGATGTAACAGCAAAAATGATGGGATGTTGTGTGGACAAAACATTCCTTTCACCACTCATCATGCGTCCAATGTAGCGGGAGTAATCATGATAGTTTGTCAGTGGGAAAAGTGTACGAAAGTCTTCGACAGAGTTGACTTTATCTAGCTAGAAAAATTATATAAAATAGAGGCTAAATAAATTATTACTAATATTATTTAATTTGTTTTTACAGGAAATGAATTTAGTAAATACTAAATTTTAAAAGTAAAATATATTTCAAAACAAATGATTAAAATGTTGTATTAATGTTAATTGATTAGACTTATCAAGTAAGAAAAAATCAGTTGATAAAAACTAAGATCATGACCTGCATATCTCTACTAAAATCAGTGTCTGCATTCTCTTTAATCTGCTGTAGTAAAAAGTCTCTTTGCGCAGTTTTCACATCCAATGTTGCCTTGTGAAGTTTTTTCCACATGATTCCCCCTATGATGGACAGGCTGCGAACTGCTATGTAGTGTCTGGCTGCTTGTAGAAACGTCTGATCTGGGTAAACTTTACAGCGCTTGATGTCATAAGCTACATAGCCCAAACCACACAGGCCAATGGCAGAAACACCTAAAAAAACAGTTACATTTATAACAGCGGTGACGCAAATATAATAAAATAACAGGTAATGTTAAAAAACCTCATGCTAAAGGAAAATCAATGGAGATTTGGACAAATGGTTTAAATATCCATTTGATTTTAAGTCTCACTGACCCTAAATATATTTTTGTCAACACGTAAGAATATTATCTACAAAAAAAATACAATAGAAATTTCCAAGATACGTTATTTAGCTTAATTTAGCTTAATCTCTTAAAATTTAGGCCAACATAAAACATACGAAACATTTTTAAAAATAAGCTTTTAAATGAAGTCAGAATTTTTAAAAAATTACAGAAAAAAATAGCAGCTAAAGAAAAAATGTATATTTATTTTATTATTTCTAGTGCAGTTATAACCTTGTTATTGCAATTTTATAAATCATTTATTTTCTACTTTTAGTATTTAGGAAGAGTAAAAGTACAGTAGCAATTCTATATTTAAGTACTAAAAACAATTAGTACTGAATTTTCTTCCGAATTCCCCTTGAATCATTCTTAATTGATAACCCTCCCGATTAAAAATATTTTTTAAAGCTGATCATTTTAAAGCATGCAACATAAGTTAAAAGACTTGACCACAGACCCACATACAAACTGACAGAGTGACTTCAGAAGTAGATTGTTATGTAAAATAGCTGATGCTTACCTGCTAATAATTTTTTAGCCAAACCCATGGCTAAAAACTGGTACATGTATGCAGTTTCTTAAATGGCAGTAGTCATTCTGTAGAAACATAAACATGTAAGCACTATAAACTATAATACCAAATTATTTGAAACAAATCTTTTAAAATTTGTTTTACTAATCATCATGGTTAAGTTACAGATTATACATGCAGAGCCATCCGAAAGTATAATGCATCTGCTGAAATTGTTAACTTGGGAATCCCCTGATTTACTTGCTATGTCAGTGTTTCTTATGGGGGATCATGGAGTAATGTGAATAAAATAAAGATCACCTAGTTGTTGTTAAAATAAAATTTGTGCAATATTGTTTTAATGTTTAAATTCAACCAAAAATGATTGTGAGACAATATTGTACAGGTATTGTAATGTCAGCTGGTATTTGTTTTATAATTTATCATCTAAGGATCTCCAAAATTTTACTTCCATGCAATGTGCAGTTTCTTTTCAGCAATGTAAAGTTCCCTTTGAAACCTGAATGTCTATGGGGCAAGTGAAGTAGAGTTCACTTGTTTCTGTGACCTCGGCATATGAAGCGACAGTGTGGTCAACACTATGCCCAGCCGCCTTTACTTTCCCTGATATGAGTTAGGTACCCATTAGAGTTGGGTAGACTCAGGGACGGTATACTGACTTGAATCCGAATTAGAACTCAAGGCTTACGCGTGAGCAGTCCAGCTCTCTTCGGCTAGACCACTCTGTCCCACTTAGCAATGAGTACTTATAAGCAATTGATCTAATTCTAAGTTTTCTGGTTGTTGCTACTTGGTTTGTCTAAAAGATATTTTCACTGTTATGCTAGCTAAAAATTTTATAATGTAATTACGAAGTGACTACTCGGAAAAAGATGTTTTGGCAGAAAATACGAAACTCAACAAAAAATAAAATAAAATCGAACTTGATTCTAGATCTAAATCTAGACGACAATGATGAGATGATTATTTATTAATTTAATATTTAAATATTTATTTATGCGGTAATCTATCGTTTTAGGTACGTAAAATCGCCCGCGGCTAGTAATGTACGAAAAAGTTACCTCATTGTCAAGGCTTTAATAGAAGTATATTGTGATATATTTGAGTCAAATATTATAGATAAATGAATAATAAACCTAACTCAATGGCTAAATATACATATATACATATATAAAGAAATTAACTTTAAACAGCAGGATTTGCTATATAAAAAGCGGCCATCTGTAAGTTAGAGTGGCTTCCCCTGAATCTTGCACTATAAGTTTACAAAAAAAATTAACAAGATGGCTGCTATAGTAAATGAGCATGGTTGCATCTGTTGGAAACATCGCTAGTCTTCATTTATTACTGAAAAGTTTTGATTCAATTGTTTAAAAACAGGTAGATCTACATAAATGAAACATTTTTGTATTTTTCAAAACATAATAAATCCCCATCAAAATGTGAAATAATTATTAAAATTTAAAGAGTCACCTGTTTTTCACATTACTAGTCGCGGGTGATTTTACGACGTACCTAAAACGATAGATTACCATTTAGGCCTATGCCTATTAATTTAATAATTATATATTAATTAATTTGTAACAAAAAAATCTACGTCAATGACTAGAGATTCAGTCATTCACTAGATCTAGATTCTAGAGTATTCTAGAGTCTAGATCTAGATTTCTACCTTTGATTCAATTTAACAATGTTTCTATTTTTTTTACAAGCTCTGAATGTCGCTGAACATCTTCGAAAGATAGTAAGTTACATATTTAACATAACCACTTTGATTAAGCCGCTGGAGCATTAGATGATGATAGGCCTAGGGCCTAGGTAGTACTTTCGTCATTATTCTGATGAAAATTACAGGGAGACTATTCTAAACGTATTGTGCTTTAAATATTGTAGTAGTCTCCCTTATTCCCACAAGTCTAAACTTTTAGACTTTTGGCTGATGTAGAATTTTGTATTTAGATAATTCAACAAATATATTTTTAAAATCCTCAATAAACAATTAAATTAAAACTATATGTACTCCCCTGTACTCCTTTTTATACATTTATGTACAGTGCTAGAACCTGGTCCCACACCGAGTGACACCTTTTCGTAGGGTGGAATTGCGGGGGGGGGGGGGGATTAAAGTAAACAGTAGAAACATACATACAACAGTGACAAAAAATAAAGACTTACAGAGTTTCTTCCAGTCATCTCTTCGGGGAGGGGGTCTGCTCTTCCGAAGAAAGTCTACAAGTCTACCGCCGAAGGAAGTGAAATTTACATAGAAAATATATACTTTTAACAGTGTCCGCTCCCCCCCCCCCCCGAAGAAAGTCTACCGCCCCCCCCCCCCCCCGAAAATTTCAAGTGCCCCCCCCCCTCCCCGGAGAAAAAAGTCTGGAAGAAACACTGCTTACTCAGTTTCGGGGCTTACCACTCTTTTTGCGTTCGATTCCGCTTTATTTTGCCAGTACACAGATTTTACTATCAAGAATTATTTCAACGTCTTTCCGGAATTTTCTCTTGGACAGGTTAGGGGTTATCCATGTATGAGGTAACAATGATAGGGGGAGAGGGTTTGGAAATTATTTGACGTCTACCGCCCCCTCCCCCGAGAATGAAATATAATTTATATTGAAAATATATACCCCTAACCCCAGAAAATTAAATCGCCCCCCCCCCCCCGGAGATTAAAGTTTGAAGAAACACTTCTGAGGACTGAGCAGTGTTTCTTCCAGGCATCTCTTCCAACGAAATGGAATTTATTTAGAAAGTAGATACTTTTAACCGTGTCCGACCCCATCTCCCCGGAAATTTTAGCCCCCCCGTCCCGTCCCGTCCCGTCCCGCCCCCCCTCGAAATTTCAAGTGCCCCTTCCCCCACGCAGAAAAAAAGTGGAAGAAATACTGGGACTGAGGTCTTGTTAGGGTGGGTCTGGCTTTTCGTCACGATGTGTGTCGGTGGAGGGGGGGGGGGGGGAAGGAACAAACTTTCGATTTGCACCCCCCCTCAAACTTTCGATTTGCATCCCCCCTCAAACTTTCGATTTGCACCCCCCCCCCCTCATACTTTCGATTTGCACCCCCCTCAAACTTTCGATTTGCACCCCCCCTTCAAACTTTCGATTTGCACCTCTCCTCAAACTTTCGATTTGTTTTTCCAACCCACTTTGGCGCCCCCTAGGGTCGGCGCCCGGGGACATATGCCCCCGCCCCCCCCCCCCCCCTCGCTACGCCTCTGGTTACTAGTAATATTAATTATTATTCAACTGTCTTCTGATTTGACTCACCGGGTGACCACCAATGTAAAAAAAACAACCGCCTCCATTGTGACAATCTGATAAACTTAGCCCCTTACATCTATTAATAATCTCCCAGATCCCTTTACATTGATAAATAAAAGAAATATACACCGAGAGTCTTCAGGGTAATCCTGTCAGGTATTCCTACTGAATTTTTCCTTCGCGATTTTTTTTTCATCTCAACGGAGCCGTGCCGAAACTTGACGTGATTGAAGGCCACAAAAGCTCTTTCCAGGGGAGGCCACTCCATCGAAACTAAATAAAGGGAGACAATCAACGTCAATAGTTTCCATTAACTTTCATCCCGCACACAGCATGGCGCCCTCACAATCAACGACCTGGGTATGAAATTATAATCGGCTCATCGTCCCATTCAAGAATTCCTATTCGGCGCGTTTCTTTTCGGTTCGCTTACGGTCAGATAGCATAGAGATGCTTGTACGCACTTTAGAAAAGCTCACAAACCATTTGTTGCAAGGGGCCTACTGAGCTTGTATCGCCAGCGACAAAATGCCCGGATTAAGATGCTCTACATTGAAATGCAGCCTAATCCCGCGCCTGAATGAGATGAGGTGAAACCACTATCCGGACCTCTCGAACTGTGAGCTGATCCTACTCAGCCAAATCCACGCTTTGGCTTTTGTTTACACAATTATTTTTACATCTAAATGCAAATTTATTTTAATACCCTATTAATATATTTAAAATAATTTTTAAAATATCTTAAATAAAAATAACAACAAAAAACGGCAAATGTTAATTACAAAATAAATAAATCCCTTAATCTTGAATCGTAAACACGTTAGAAAAACCAGGTATGTACAAAGATTCATTTTATTGTATTAGTAAACTGTTAAAATAAATAAATACGATTCTCACTCTAATTCGTTTACTGGTATAAAAATAACAACTATATAACTAGCGTCGTTTAATAATCATTTAGATTTTGCTTTGATAACTGAACATATTAACAACATTAATTCTGCTTGTCAATATAAAAACCAGCAAGTTCACGAAAAACTTGAATTCACTAGCAAGTACAATATGGAAGAGCGTTGATTGTTGTCTCTCCCTCATCCAACGAGTGCCCACCATTCCCATACTTTTAGAGTGACACACTGACACGCACTACATTACATCGTACAGAGCAGTGCTTCTTTCATATTTTTTTTATTCTCGGGGGGGGGGGGGGCACTTAAAACTTTCGGGGGTGGGGGGAGCTAATTTTTTCGGGGGGGGGGGGGGGGCGGACAATGGTAAAAGTATATATTTTCTGTATAGATTATATTTAGTTAGACGGTCGACGTGTTTCGAGGGGGTGGTTTCCCTCCCCCTCCCCAGAATAGATGCCTGAAAGAAACACTGGTACAAAGTTCGACAGCGTTGCAACCAGGCGTCCATAACAAAACAAGGATGCAAATGATGTTATCTTACTCAGTTTCACCACTGTTTTTTTGTGCATGGTGTAATTTTAAAAGTACACAGATCTACAAACTGAGTTATCTGAATTCCGTTGAGCTTGTTGCCGTACATTTTATTTACTGTTTTAACCCTAACTTGATTTCTTCAGCCCCCAGGGCACCGCCATATTTTTAAAGGATAATTTCCATCCTCTCCAGGTGAGGCGATGCCAGAATGACATCTGCCACAATGGCAACATCCCCCCTCCCCCCACGCACAATGTGAGGCATTAAAACGTCTATTTGTAAGGGGAGCGAAGAATTTATGGCTTATTTCAAGGGAGTTAAGTTTGACGTAGTTTTGAAAATATTGGAGAGTTACAAGTGCATGAATGTTTGTAACACACGGTGGAGGTAGTAATGGGGTGTTCAGTCGGTGCAGCTATCTCGTTAGTGGTCTGACTGCACGTAATGTAGCGGGTATTGCATAGTATAAACAAGTAGCAACGATAGCTACCGTATAGCGGGGTATATACAAGTACCAGCTACGGTATTACAAGGTATATACAGGTAGCAATGATATCTATTGATATATTGCAAGGTGTGAATGTATTAGATCTATGTATAAGTAAACCATCTTGAAAGAAAGTAGGCTACATGTAAGAAAGGAGTATTACTATTGTAAATCTATATCAGTCCTCACAAGCCGATGATGAAAACTAATACTAAAGCGAACATGCCAACACAAACTGACGCTGTAAATTGTGTCTGAGGCAAGGTGTAAATGTAGAATAATAGCTTTTGTATTAAAAGGTATAAATATATTAGGTATTGCATGGTATATACTGGTAGCAGTGATAGACACGGCATTGCAAGGTAGGCTATATAAAAGTAAGTATATCGAAATATCAGAAAGTTGATACTTGCACTTAGACCACACAAATATATGGGAAAATTATCACAGGGACTATAGCCCATTCAGTAGAGATATGATCAGTATGAAAGATATCACTGATATAAAGATCACATATTAATGCTGCTCCTCCATCAAGTATTATTGGTTTTCAAAGAACTCGACTTAAAACAAAACAAACAACAAACAAACGATTTTCAAGCAAAATTCATTGTTGATCATACATTTATTTTATTTTAGAACAAGTCATTGTAATATTATACACTATTTACACACTTGAAACATTCATTCGTCACACACTAGCTCTGACAAACGTCTCTCATATCGGTATCAAATATTTAAAAAAAAATACTGTAATACATTGCAAGTTATGAGCAGAGAATACAAATAATACTGTACGTACTTAACGGCAAGAAATTGCATTGTCCAACATGATTTAATTCATTAGAATAGAATAATTTGTAAACATTCGTATGCAATAAACGTAAAATTGATTTCATTGTTTAGCTTTAAACATATGAAAGAAGCAACGTAACACGCATAGGCTTATGTTAGTGGATATCTCCATCCAGTAAATATTTCAAAGAATTATTTAAAACAACCAAATATTTATTCAATATATTATTACCTTTATCACATTTTACAATGTTACATTTTTGTTTAGGTTGAATGTATTTTAAAAATACTGCTACAAAATTCATTTTACACCCCCCCCCCTCCCGCCACAAAAAAAATCATACTATTTTTGCGAACCCTAATCTTTTTTTTTCTGACACCCCCCCCCCCCCCCCCCCCCCACTTCCAACAAGTACTACTTATATTACATTAGCCATACCCTTCTCTAAGTTCAATTATCTTATTAGGTTAAAACAAAATCATAAATGTACATTTCTAAAAATTGAAAACAACACAACACAAAAAAAAATAATCTCTAAATGAATTCATGAGTTGAAAGAACTAAAAGACTTGTCGAATTATCTGAACGATTTCTCTGAACTGGGCTGAGTTAAGGAACCAGCAACACCGGGCGTGTTCCCTTTCAACTCAACAGGATGATAAAAATGACATGCCAGTTTCAACCGAAACGAAATATCACAGAACAGCAATTGATTCGTCTCCCCCCGGGGGGTGCACAGCTAGCCAGGACAAACGAATCAGGGCTGGAGGGGAGGGGGTTGTCAGATAGCTGGGGCGAACGAAAGAGAGGGCGGGGTGGGGGGGGAAGTAACAGAGATGTAAAACAGGGGAGGTCACTGTTAGACGGGGGATCACCATGCTCCCTAGCACAAAAACAAGAGCGATGAAGGTCGAGCAAAATTTCAGATCATGCTGGGTAAATAAATGAAACAAACCAAAATATAATCTTTTAAAATGAAGGATGAGATAAGCTGTCTGAATTCGACAGGGAAAATAAAAACAGAAAGAAAATAATAATATTCATTTGGGTAAAGAAATAAAAGAAAGAAAGAAATCAGTCTCTGGCTTCTCTCTGTATTTGGTCTCGTTTATTTTCACAATGTTGCTCCCGAGTTTCACATGGATGACGTCATCGTACGCATCCCATTGTAACAGCCAATAGGGTTTTGGAGATTATCTGGCACTCTGGAGTATGCTGGCACTAGTACCTCGGTCCACTTCCACGAGGTGTTGGTCTGGGTAATCCACGAGTGATGGTCAAGGACGGTTGTTGTATGTTTGTTTGTCGGTGGTCGCGAGTTGTTGATACTCAAACGTTCATCTAAAACAAAACAAAATTATAACTCAATTTTTTTTCTCTCCCAAACATTAAAGCAATTTTAAACAAGCATCTATTGTATAAAAATATTTCTACTTTAAGTTTTTTTCTTCTTACTTCTTAAGTTTTTTTTTTTCGCGAAAGCATAATGGCAAATTAAATTATAGAGACGACAAACTGATAGCACACAAATGTGCACCCGATGCTTGAGAAAAAAAAACCGCAAAAAAGAACAAAGGCGTTTTCTTTTCTTTATAAACTCAAGTGTCACTCGTTTAATGGGTTCATAAATATCCAATTATAACAACCCCCCCCCCCCCCCGCGCTATTTAGCAATACAATAAATTACAGTAGCAGACGACAACCTGTGACTTAGAAGCCGCAAGAGGCTCCATAAACATATGAGGCTGTAAAAATGCTAGGCTCATGAATGTGATAGACCCCCACATTGCAATGTTAGCTTTTTAAAACGACTATTTCTTTTAGATTATTAATTAAGCTTGGTCAAGTTTAGATACACTGATTATTTTTTTTATAAAAATTATGGAATAAATATTTAAAAAATAGTGAAATAACGTAACATTTTATTTAAAAAAAATTAATCCGTCTTGAAATGCAAAAGTGAGACATCGTCCGTTACACTTTTTTAACCCCCCCCCCCGAAGTGTGATGTCTGACGTCCTATGTAACGGTCCATTACTAATGAAGAATTTGTATATCACGGGTAAGCTAACAGTTTTGTAAGTTTACACAATTTTGTAAATGGTGTGTACAGTATGAGAGGTAAACTTTTATTTAGAGATCCTCATCGTTAATGTACATAATCATCCCCCCCCCCTCCCCACCGACCTATGAGCTCTATGAGCTGTCGCTAGAGGCCTACCTTGAGAACGGACACGTCCAACTCACTACCACCGCGACCACTGTCGCTGGTTTCCACAGAGGAACTGCTGCACAGGTCCGTGTCGTGGCTGGTTGATGCTGGCCTCACCTGCTGACCAACACATTGAACATTACTCACTGATGGACACACGTGTAGTTAGTAACTAAGTAGGTGTTAGCGTAACAAATAATTAAAGTCATTTAAGATTTGATTCTCTGTAAATATGAGTGTATTTTCGATGTCCCGATAATTTGCAATAAACAGCGAATATTAGATAACTACCACAATTTTCATTTCTTATATGCTGCTGCATTAAAATATCTCAAACTGCAACTAAAATAAGCCGCTATATTGTATATTATTCAACTAACAAATTATTGAATGTTTCCCGACTTAAAATAGCCCCAGTGTTTTAAAATAAGCCCCCCCCCCGTCAACATACATCCCCCCGCTCACCTGTTTGTTTGGACACGGCGGCCGTCTCCCTCCCCTCATCGACCTGACCAGGGCGTTGTGTTTCTGTAGGGCCACGTCAACCAGCTGGTCCCCCGGGCCCTCCTCCTCAAACACCTTGATGTTGAACCCACTGTCTGGCTTCTGTGGAAACTGACTGCCGGTTCGAGAGTTCGTCGTGGAGGGGTAGAACGGGGCCGGCGACACGAATGGAATTTGGCCGCTGCTGAAGTTGTTGTACGGCTGTGGGAAGCTGTGGTTGAAAGCTGGGGAGCTGGTGCGGTTGAAGGAGTTGGGCGGGGCCGGGTTAAAAGTGGAGAACCCGCCGGTGAAGCCGGTGTCCGGCTGGGAAGTTGACGTCTCGGAGGTGTCGGAACACGGCACGGCGCTGTCGAAGGTGACGCATTTCTTCCCGGGGCGTGTCTGGGTGCCGAGGCGAGGCTCGGGGAAGACGGTGGGGTAGGTCAGGGGGCTGGTGGCTAAGACCTTCTCCAGAACGTCGTCCCCACCCCCCTCCGTGATGTACACCTGGGTGCTGCTCGCGACCTTGTCGAACGTCTGCTTGTCCACGTGTTTCTCGCGGCTGAACTTCCGCTTGTCCATGAACCGGATGAAGCACAGCGTGGCTAAAACGATGACGGCCACGCACAATGTCACACACACCATGATGATGACGATGGTCATGTAAGAGTCACGTGATCGAGTTTTGGTCGTCTGCTCGACGATGTCCACACGGAGGTTCGCCTGAGTCTCTTTCTGCGGGTTGCCGTTGTCGTGGACGCTGATGACAATGTTGAAGCTCTGAATGTCCGTGGCGGTGAGGCGCGTTACCAAGGTAACCAGCCCGGTGTCTTGGTTGATCCAGAACAATCGGGAGACCGTCGTGTTGGGGGTGAGCAGCGAGTAGGTCAGTCGGCCGTTTTCACCGCTGTCAGGGTCGTGAGCGATGACCTTGACGACCTCGTGACCGGGGGCGACGTCCAGGTTGAGCACCACGCTCTGGTTGTCCGGCCCTGGGAAGGTGATGAGGGGAAAGTTGTCGTTCTCGTCCAGGACCTCGATTTCAATCTCCACGGACGAGTTGCGCGGCGGCTTACCCAAGTCAAAGGCGGTGACGACAAAGTGAAACTTCGGGCTGGTTTCGTAGTCCAGGGTACTCGTCAGGGTCAAGGTTCCGTTCGCGATGGACAGGGAGAAAGGAGGGTCGGGCTGGAGGGGAGAGTTGATCAGGATGTACTCAACTTTCCCGCCTAAGCCAAGGTCAGGGTCGGTCGCGGTGACTTGACCCACGACAGCGCCGGGTTTGGTGCCCTCGGTCACCTGGAACTTGTACCTGGGGAGCTCGAACGCCGGCCAGTTGTCGTTGAGGTCCTCGATGTCGATGATGACGGTGGCCGTGGCGGTCAGGGGGGAGAGGCTCTCGTCAAACGCCAGGACCTGGAGCGTGTACTTGCTGGTGGTCTCGCGGTCCAGGCCGCGGACCGCCGTGTAGATGTAACCGTTGGACTCGTTGATCTCGAACTCCACCACCCCCGGGTCGAGGGCGTACCTCAGGCGGGCGTTGGCCCCCGTGTCGGCGTCCCTGGCGGTCACGCTGCCCACGAGCTCCCCGATCTCCTGGTTTTCCTTCACGCTCATGACGTACACGGCCCGGCTGAACACGGGCGGGTTGTCGTTGACGTCGTCCACTACAATGGACAGCTGCGCGGTGCTGGACAGCGGGGGGCTGCCCCTGTCCACGCACACGATGGGGAGGACAAAGTTCGAGTTGGTTTCCCTGTCCAGCGCCCTCGCCACCGAGACGGTGTAATAGTTCTGTTGCTGCTGTTTGAAGGCGAAGAACTCGCCGCTCAGGGAACAGCTGGTCATCCCGTTCTCGTTGGAATCGCTGTCCGTGACTTGAACGGCGGCTATGATGGTGTCGAGGGCGGCGTCTTCCGAGACGGCAGCGGCGTTGCCACGTTGGTTCAGGTAAACAACTTTAATCTTGGGTGGGTCGTTGACTGTGTCCTCGACCGTGATGACCACTTCGGCATCAGTAAACAAAGACGAGGGCGTCACGCCGTTGTCGGATGCCCGCACTTTAAAAGTGAAAGTAGAACCGCCTTCCGTTTCCAGACTCCGCAACGTTTTAATCTCACCGGTAGATGGATCTATACCAAAAAGTTCAGAAATTTTGTAGTTGGCGTTGGCTTGATAAAATTTATACCCCACCTTCCCGTTGATTCCTTCATCGGCATCGCTAGCGGAAACTATGAGAACAGTGGAGCCTACGGGCGTCGTCTCTTTGATGCTTCTCTCGAACCTCCCCGAGCTAAACACAGGCGCGTTGTCGTTCGCGTCAATCACATTCACCTGTACAGGCAGCTTCACCTCATGAGGCCCATCAGACGCCACCAGAGACAGAGAATAGGACGCCACCGTCTCCCTGTCCAGCTGACCAATCACACGAAGGCTGACCATAAACTTCGGCGTGCCGTCAGAATTCTTGGTCTTCTCCACCACCAAATCAAAAACCTTCGGGTAGTTATTGTCCAGTCTGTAGCTCTGGACCTGATTCGCTGGATCTATATCCGCATCGGTGGCCGCGGGCAGCATGACGGTCGAGTTGATTTTCACGTCCTCGGAGAAACTCGCGACGTAGTTCTGAACATTGAACTCGGGTTTCCTGTCGTTTATATCGAGGATATTGACCTGGACGGTGGGGTAGGTGATAGGGGTGGTGCCCTCGTCCATGAGGGTAATGGTGAGGAAACACACCAGCACCTCCGGACACAGCTTCTCCGCGTCCAAGACGACGATGGAGGAAATATCCCCGGTGGCTTTGTTGATTCGAAACAGGTCTGACCGCGAGACCTGACTGATGGTGGAGCTCGAGTTACCGGCCCTGTTCATCTTGGCGAATATGTTGCCGAAGAGAAAGGGCGCCGGGCGCTCCTCCTGCACGTCGAACGTGATGGTCTGGGCAAGGGTGGCCACGAGCAGGGACACGGCCACGGTCAAGGTTGTTGTATCCATCGGGCTAGACATGACGACAGCTGACTTCACTCACGTGATGGGCGCTGCCAAAAGAAAATAAACGGACGGATTAGACATGAATACACATCATAACCAGGAATAAACGTCACAATAGGCTATAAAACAAACGTAGGGCTACTGGTAACAAACAGGATATATATATATATATATATATATATATATATATATATATATATATATATATATATATATATATATATATATATATATGTGTGTGTGTGTGTGTGTATAAAGTTCGGTAAAAATATAAACGACCGTATTAGATCTATCGCTTATAATGACGACTGAACATAACTTCCCTAACTAGAATGACGACACATTTTGTTATATCCTTTGTTCATCAGCACGGCACGAAGCCTGCTTTGAACTAATGCTAATGTATATACACGGCCTACGCAATGATTATAATTACATACGGTAATTACCTTTTAAGTTTTTTTTTCTTTAATGAAAAATAGAAGTGTTGGCGGCAGACAGGAGAGAAGAGATCGATAAAATTATCAGTAAAGCGGAAATACGATTGGCCCAGTGATATCGACAGGAAGGGAAAGTTTTTTTGCATCGCTTAAATTAGTCTTCAGTTTACATTTTTTTTCTTCCAAATTAATATTAAAAAAAAAAAAACAATGCAATATCACTAACTCTGTTGCGCATGATAAATCGGCTCTACTCCCGTGAATGACAACTAGCCCCCCCCCCCCCCCCCCCCCCCCCATCAATCGTGCTCTTGTTCAACTCAGAAAACCTGTCCATTAAATGGCCTCTGTATCGGGTGGGTTGATAACTCAGCAAAGTCGCGTTTTTTCCCCTGTATACTCGATGTAGTAAGTCATACTCTGGTTAATACTTTTCAAGTTATTTTTAGCACTATCGAAAGACACGTTACAGAAAAAAAAACACACAACACAATCTAATGCTTTGAATGTTATTTTATTTTCTGTTGGGTGGGGGTTGGGAGAAGAAAGGGGGTCGGTCCCGGTGTCGAGAGAAAGGAGGAGAATAAACAGAGGCTTTAATTAAAAGTCATCAGTCTTAACAGACGAAAAAAAAAAACAAAACATGACGGCAGTTAAGTACCCAATAAAGTTATGAAACGGATCGAAATAAATGTTCAGACCACCGCGTGATTTGAACAAGTGCGTGGTTGTCGGCTTGCAAACAGCAATAAAAGATGGAAGATTGCAGCCACGATTAAAAAAGAACAGCTAGAGCTGTTCAAACAATTTTTTTGCGCTGCTTTTGAAAATTGCAATAAAAACCGAGGAAGGGACATAATCAGATAAAACTGTTAGAGGCAAGGGCCGGCAATTTGCAGTAAAATTACCACAGCTACCATCGGAGCGTTGAATCTGAGAGCGCGATGACCTGTTTCTCTCCCTTGATTGAAGTCCCCAGATTGCCCGATAGAGGGACATTGGCAGGGCCGTTCCCTAGACAACATAATCAATCCACGATTTGACGGGCTAATTTTCTGGCCTGCTGTATAAAATCATGTCTCAAGTATTTAAAGGAACATCTACCACTAAAATGGTAGAATGCCTTTGGATTTGATATTTAGCTGAGAAATAAGATTTATGATTGAAGTACAATGAGCTGTATTTTTAAATTCTGGAACATAATTACTTTTATGATGCATTGAAAAGATGACAGGTCAATATTACTCTCTCCGAAAACAAACACACAAAGCTTTTGGTTAAACAACAGAATCAAGAGTACTTCCTGATGTTTGAAAAAAAAATGGAACCGATTTTGTCATGCATAGAAAAGATGGCAGGTTCCGATAACTCTCATAGAACATCCGACTGACAGTTAGGAGAATATCCCAAGGGCGTTGGGCGTCGTTCGCGGAAAAAAAAAAGTTCCATTTCTAGACACGCCGAAGATGGATTAAAACTTGATACCATCTTGACCTCTTGTTAACTAGACTAATTTTTTTTCCGTCACCAGTAGTGTCGGCAGGCCAATTAGGTTTAAATTTAATTAAAGACAGCTGTAAAAATCCGTCGAACCAAACCGACATTTTGTTTAAGTATGACTGTTATAGTTAACAAGATTTTAAAAAGAAACAACAAATGTTGATTGCCGTGTTTTTATTTCTTAAAGCCTTTCAATTATTGAGAATTAACTCAAGCATAGACAGATCAACTGACATTTCCTGTCTACCTATTCTCACACACCAGGACCGGAAGACGCGAGATTATAAAAAAAAAATCTCGTGTCTTATTGTAATCGTGTGTTATGTAAACACATCATTTTAGTTTTTGGGATTTTGAAATTTTTCATGATAACAGAATTTATCTGAGTTGTAAAGTCTTCCGGTTTGGTTTAAAAAAAAAACCAACGGAAAATGTGCGCGCATGCAGTTTTCGGAGCGCAGTTGCACATTCAAAGAGGTCTAAAGGAGATTTCTAGACACAACATTTTCTTGTAACAGCTAGCCAAATACAAGTAGAAGGTTAACAACGTCGTGTCATTTATATACTGATTTATACCCACGATTACTGACATAGCTAATGTTCGGCTACTTGGGATAGGATTAAGTTAATCTAAAATAGATAATGTTAGACTTTCTGGGATAGGATTAAGTTAATCTAAAACAGATAATGTTCGGCTAGTTGGGATACGATTAAGTTAATCTAAAATAGATGTTAGACTTTCTGGGATAGGATTAAGTTAATCTAAAATAGATAATGTTCGGTTAGTTGGGATAAGATTAAGTTAATCTAAAATACATAATGTTTGGCTATTTGGGATAGAAGTAAATTATTTGTGTGTGAAAGCAAATACATATACGGCTAAAAGTAACCGACTTTTAAAGTAAACGAATTTTTGTAATGGTTAACTAGCTTTCGTTGATTACACACACATAAAAATCACCAGAGTAAGATTTTTTTAAAGTCGTTAAATTTAAACGCACGGTTCATAAACTGTCCTGATGTATGCGTACTCGTGATGAAACCACCACATCAAGTCGCTTAGTATCAAAAGTGAGCTAAAGAAAATATTTCGATCTTGCAAAGTCAACATCGTTTCAAGTGGCTGCAGGCGGCCAAGCTACCCATTAACGGAGACTCAACGGGACAGACAAGGTCAGTTTAAAGCTGGAAGGAAAGAGTCCACCCCTCCCCCCTTACCCCATGATCTGTATAAAGGCTTGAAATGGGAGAGAAACGGTGGATGAGATTTCATAGGTCCATATAGTTCTGACTCATTTGACTGAAGGGGTGATACAGAAATCTTATCCAAGATCTCACATCGTACAGCGGGGACGACCCTAACCGTGGTGGTGGCCCCTCAAACACACTCAATTCTTTTGTTGCCTGCTTTCACTGAAATTTCCCTGACCGGCGTTCGTTCATCTACTCAAGATGGCGCTGATACGTCAAGGTCAGAAAAGGACTATAATTAGATTTCAGGCTGCGGGCCGCCGTGGGCTATCAGCATGGGATCGCGGGCTGAATGAGCACTATCAGCATCTACGCCGGGCTGGAAGCCAGCCCTCCCACCTGGGACCCTTTGACCCACCTGTCATGCCACCTAGGGACACAAAGAGGGCGGCAACAATGGCCAGCGGTCCTGTAAGTCAACTGCATGTCACGTGATGAGGTGTTAACACAGAGTCAACTGTCAACACTTGATGGTGTCTCAGATTTCGCAGACGACACGACAGGCGATTGGTTTCTCGCTGCCCTACAGGCCAGGTTACAGCCGTGTCACTTTAAATAGATTTTTTTTGGTAGTCAGATAGAACTGTATTTTAGAAGCCACATTTATATGAAGTTGTCTTAGAGATTTTATAAACCCGTTAACTACCAACTGAGACCAATGGTTGTAAAATAAATAGTATCTACTTGTTATATAACTTTTATTTTTCTTTTTATAATTCTGTAATTGATTAGCACTGACATAATTGTATCAAGTTATTTTTTTCCGGCAGTGAAGCTAAAATAAGAAATAAGTTAGGGGTTTTGGGCCAGGGTTAAGATAAATACTAGAAAAAAAAACAGCATAAAATAATCACCGACTAATTAGTGCCGATAAGTACTGAAAAAATATTTCTAATGTGCCGAGGAAGGGAGGGGGGTACTTGTATACAGGAACCAAGTTACAATTGAGTGAAATAAGAATACTCTCGGCCCCAGAAGTGTTTAATGGGGTTGTTACAATGACAGGGTGGAGGCTGGGAGGTAGACGATGCCAGTTATTACACCCTGATGCTAGACAGGCCGCGGATGGATTTTAGCGTCAAGTGCTGGTCATTTGGCCAGTTAATAGAACGGTCAGCGCCAGACCACGGCGCCGAATGTCAGTCTTGGCGCTGGCACGGCACGTGAGTGAAGCAGGTAGAAGGGACTGGTGAGTGAGGCCTGTCTACACGTTGGTACCGGGGAACAGCTGGGTGAGCTTGATCTAACTGGCAATAGAAATGGATTTTAAGATATCAACTTATCAAACTGTTGATTCATAAGCACAGTGGGTTGTTTATAGCTAGAGATATCATAACCCAAAACACTAATCCTGAACTTAAGCGACAGAGAGACGCATTAATACAGCAATATTTGAAGTCTAACCACAAACGTTATAACTTGCAACAACAGCTGCTTGTTAATAAAACGAGATGTGATTTAGCGAAGAAACTATTTTCATGATGGGAGACAAATCAGCGGATACGTCTAGCTCACCGTTTACACAACTGGATAAGGGGGGGGGGGGAGGAGGAGGAGGAGAAAGAAAGGGAGAGAAGGACGGCTAGTGTTGGTCCGACAATCCCTGGACTGCAAATTTGACCAGCGCTGACCTCCGCGTGAAAGTCACGTGATCAGATGTAAACAAAACCATGTGAGCTCATGCAAATACCGCCGAGCCCCTAGACCTGGTGGTTTCCTATCGGCTGCTAGTGCAGGAGCTAAGCTACAGACAGAAAGTACAATTCAATGAGGGGGGGGGGGGGGGGGGAGGGAAAGAAACAACAACCGCACAACATCCAGACTATAAAGCCTATGTTTAGTGTAGCTGTGAATCAGAACAGATCGAAACAAAAGACATACACCAGCCAACAACAAGAGGATCACATTAAAAAAAAAAGCAGAGCTCCCTTGCTCACGGGGCTAAATTAGACGTGAGCTAGATCTATTTATACGCAGACCCGGGCGCTCCAAGACTGAGGGGCACTCACCCGTGACGGCTTGATTTAGAATGCTTCAGGTACAATGTTAACATTAATACCAGGGTTATTTTTTTAACCCCCCCCCCCCCCCTCGCAGGCATCTAACCATAAACAATTATTTTCACAATTTTTCTTTTTATACACACCATTATTTTCACACTATTTGTTTTTTATTCGCTGAAAACCCAACAAGCTTAATATAATTAAGTTCTCATCAAGAGGTCTGTTTTGTCTGCTTGTGAATTTAAAATATCTCTTCACGTGAGGGAATGTACTGTCTTGACATCTGGTTTTTGTTTCGTTGTGAAAAAACAAAATACTGTTCAGCATTCCTTAAAACGGGACCCGTTAAACCGTTAATTGCAAATAAATGACGTCATCGGGAAAAGTGGACAGGGGGCGTGGACACAGGGATTTGTGCGTCAACTCCTTAGCCGGAACGCAATAGTTGCATGCGGTACTAAGCGCATGCACATACGGAATGCGGGGGCTTTACCTTCAACGGTCAATATTGGCCCAGGCATCAGCCAGACTTAAGAAAGTTCAAACCTCTGTAACAGTGACCACAGTCAAGTCACTGACAGACGCTCGTGTTAAAGCTGACTGTCGACGTCATTGGTGACCTAAGTGTACAGAGTACAACCAACGGCGACTGTTAGGGACAGGTGACGTGCTGCAACGTCACGGTGAGGTTTGAGGTGGTGTTGGTGCATAGTATCACCACCTTAACACTAATCCTCATCTAAACTAGTGTTCATAGTATCACTATCTTAGAACTAGTCCTGATCTAAACTAGTGTTCATAGTATCACTACCCTAGCGCTAATCCTGACCTAAATTATTGTTCATAGTATCACTACCCTAACCTAACTATTGTTCATAGTATCACTACTCTAACCTAAACATGTTCATAGTATCACTAACCTAGCGCTAACCCTGACCTAAACTATTGTTCATAGTATCACTATTTTAGAACTAATCCTCATCTAAACTAGTGTTCATAGTATCACTACCCTAGTACTAATCTTAACCTAAATTACTGTTCATAGTATCACTACCCTAGCGCTAATCCTGACCTAAATTATTGTTCATAGTATCACAACTTTAACCCTAATCCGGACCTAAAGTATAGCCATCACCCAGGCCATAAAGGATATAACGGTAAAGAAAAAGTAGATGGGATAGGTACAGTGCGGTATGTACAGTCAAACTAACGTTTTACTTTCTCTTTTCATTTTGCAACAGAAAAAAAAGTAATTTTCCTCAAAGATGTTAAAAAAAGACACGTTATAACCTGAATAATTAAATCATCAGATGAAACAAGAAGAAATGTAAACAAAATCACGTGTTATTAGTAAATAAACATCCTAGGTGGGAGGGGGGGGGGAATTAAGTAAAGGAACCAAATCTGTAACAAAAGTTGTGTACAAATCTGTAACAAAAGTTGTGTAGAGTTTGGCGCAGGTGAACTCCATGGTGCTAAACTCTTTGGATTAGAAGATAACATATAAAGGGTTTATGTTACACACCAGAACTTAACAGAATAGTTCAACAACACACATATAAAGTGAGACGTCGGTTTAACCACTACACGATCTGCGTGCAGATGAAGCAGAGTTTGACTGATCACTAAGCCTTTCTGCCTTTGTTTTTCCGAATTCAAGTCAGGTACTTATCTGAGCTGGGTGGACTCAGGGAAAAGCCTTTGGCGGCATTGTATTTGTTAAACAGTTCAGTGGTCATTGCAGTGTACAGCTGACTTTGACGCCTTTTGGTAAATGCTAAAACTGCCAGTGGTCATTACAATGTACACAACTTCCTTTGCCACTTGCCTGTTAAACGCTCACTAGTACTTTGTATCAGCAAATCTAACCCAAACGGAACACGTCTCATTTAACATTAGAGATACGGTGACGTTTGGGGCTATGAAGCTAACGGTTAAGCTTTAATAGAGTAAATGTTGATTAGTTCGGGCCGAAGATGAAGGCATTTTTAATTTAAAAAACAAAACAAGGCTTAACATAATAAGCAACTAACAAAGCTCAGATGACCGAGCTTTAAAGAAATATTTCTAGCTATCTAGATAGAGCCAAATGTATTTGATTGTTTTTAGTTAAAGCTTAGAGCACAATACATCACCAATCAGTAGGCCAGTCTTTTCATTTAGTTACAATATATTAGTTCTACACAACGTCTAGAATATATGGCTGGGTGGTCGCCATTGACACGACAGGCTTTAATTTTAATCTGGTATTAAATTAATAAAAGTAAAAACTTGAACACACAAAAACAGCAATATAAAACAATTGGATCTACTTAAGTTTTATAACTCATGATATTGTATGTTAAGTAAAATATCAATAGACTAAGAGTCTAAGACGATGAAACTAACAAATCTTCAACACCCAACACTTACCCTTGTTATCAGCATTTAACAAACGGCTGTTTTCTGTTTTGGTTAAAATTTTGCAAATAACTTCCAAAAGACGGGTGTTTTTTGTTTCCTATGAGTTGTTATTCGTTATATCCACATGAATGAAAAACTGAACTATTTCCTTTAGCTTGTGAATTAGTCTAATGGCACTTTATCTTGGAATGCTGCACTAAAAGAATTTCGGTGCAATCTATCGAACTGCATCTACAAACTCGATACAATGCCACAAGACACAGGTGAAATAGAAGTAGAGCGAACAGGACACAACGATGCGGCGAGGGAACAGTGAGAGCAACTTAATGACACTTGAAGACCAAGTCCAGCTAACAGGAATTACAACACAACATCTGCGACGGCCGTCACAACAAAGCCCCAGCCAATAAGGTCCGAGCTAATATCCGATGGGCGGGCTCTAAAAACATCGCTCGCCCTCGCCGCTCGCTCAACGGACACGCGGCACGCCGATGCTGACGAGACGGACGTGGTAGCGCGGGAATTCTTTTCAAACGACTGGACTTGTTGAAACATTTATTAAAAGTAAACTTTGAAGGAAATAATTTCCAAGCTTTGCCTTCCTAAAATGTGTGCAAAACAACTTATTTCATCGTTAATGTTCACGCTCAAAGCCTTAGCACTAGACGTCACTGGGCTATATTTAGGACATTTATTGGAGTAATGGCGGAGGCTGTTGAATGGAACGATGTGAATCGACATTCCAGTAGTGATTCACACGGGCGAGTCAACAAAAACAGACATAGTGTTAAAAGGCTGGTAATGCGAACACGGTGTTATTACAAAAGGGCAGAGGAGCGGCCTAGGGAGGTTCAACATTAGCATGTAGTATGAAAGAAAAATGGGAAAATTTAAAAATACGTCAAATAAGTATCAAATTACTAAACGTACACGTTAAAAAAAACAACAAACAAGATAAAAGCAAACGGCAAAACATGCGTATAATAAACAGTGACATAATAATACATCTCGAAGCAGCCACGAGAAAATAGAGACAAATGTTTTGGGAAGCAGTGAGTATCGAGGACTAAAATATGAGGACGATTAAGCAGTAGCGTCACACGGCGGGGGGGGGGGGGGGGGGGGGGGGCGGGCGGCGGCGGTCCGCACCGGGTGACTTCATTTGGAGGGTGACATCAATTCAGAAAATGGTAAAATTTACTGTCAAGACAATCTTTATCTAGTTTAAATAAAACAGGGAGTGAGGAGGGTGCCATTAAACCTCAGTTAACACACCGGGTGACACACGACTTAGTGACGCTACTGGGATTAGGGTCGTGGCTATAGTTTGGGTTAGGATAGCGACACTGGCTAAGGTAATGCCACGAATATCTCCTGCTTACCTAACTGACATTATAAGTAAAAAAAAAATCACCTCCAGATAGGAACTAGCTATGTGACGACGAACAAGTCTGACCACACCACAGTAGCGGAACGAGACCAGCTCCTACTGGCGTCACCACAGCCGCATCTGTCCAGCTGGTCAGTGACGCTTGTCCAAACTTTCCACGTGACCCAAATTGTGACCCGTCGTTTATATCGGTAACAGCATTGATCTCTAAGGCCATCAGAGCCGCAACAATTTCCTCCCCGACCCAGCACAACAATCGCGAGATTCGCTGCAGTGATAGCCGCCTTTGTCTGCGAGACCGCAGTCGTTACAGGAGGAAGATCCACCATCGTCAATTAGAAAGGGGGGGTCCCTATCTATCGTGCTGTCGACGGCGGGTTTAAGGGGAGCGCTGACCTTTAATAAACCGGCACAAAGGACTGCCCTGCCTACTTATATTACTGACCGTTGAAAGTTTGGAATTGTTCAAAGGACCACAAAGTAAATAGTTTCAATTGTTGAGTCAGAGTTTAAAAGGGGGGTAACACCCCCCTCACCCCCGCCCTCATAAATCGCCGTGGTTGATTGTAAATCCACGTGTGATCAGCGATAAGTAAATTGTTCCGACGACAGCTCACGGCTAGAGCTTTCTTCCAAAAATGGCCCACGGGGAGGGCACCCATTTCCTTGGGTTCAATTTCTTTACTGCCTAGTGCACTCGCGACGCGCACTGATGAGTTTTCAATCTCAGCTCTCTCGTCGGCGCGAACCGTAAAGCGCTTAAAAGTCGGCGGGTTTTATTTGGGTTTGCGGCTTTGATCCCATAAAACATCGCCCCCAGGCTTATCCCAGCCTACCCCTAGTCTACCGCGTTAGTCTCCACCTACCCCGTCAGGGATTTTTTGAACAAGTTCCTTAAAAGCTCATGATTCATACAGGGATTGACAATCCCCCCCCCCCCCCCCCCCCCACAGGTAAATACCGTTCTAATGACCTGATTTAAATTACTAGTTGATTCCTTGGCCCAACATTGCCACTAGGTCTACACTGAACTCTACCAGGTTTTGAACTTACTTAATACTCCAGAGGTTTGATCAATGAGGATCTATTGGGTGTGTGGGTGAAAGGGGTGGGGGTGAGGGGACTCCTAACATCTTGAATGAGATTAAACACCAACATAGAATGAAGGTCATTTCTCTTAGTTTTATCGATGATAATGTGTAGGTGTAGTGTAGCTTATGTTTATAGTTTGTATTATAAAATTAGCTAGAGTCTAGATTCTATGTCTAGCTCTAAGTCAAGGTTTAAATAAGAAAAAAAATATTTTTAGGTGCAAAATAAGATTCTAAGAATTTTTTTTAAAAACTAGAAAATCCAGACCTAAAACTAAAAATCTAGATTTTTCATCTTTCGATTCTAGATCTAGATCTGTGTCTAGATGCTACAAATAATTAAGATGAAACTTTATGCATAAAGATAAACTATTATAAAAAGCTAGTCTAGGTGTTGTCACATCAGAAATGCACCCACATAGAATCTAGATCTACATCTAGAATCTAGATCTAGCTAATCCATGACGAATCGCCAAAATAAAAGTGGCTTGGCTAGATCTAAGATAGCTAGATCTAGATTAAATCTGGAAGATTTAAAATTTAATCTAGATTCTAGATCTAGATAGATCTAAGAGTTTTCTTACTTTTCTAGACTTTACTAGAATCAGTAGAATCTAGATTTGATCATTATAGTTTATAGATCTAGATATCTAGATCTAGAATTCTCACTCAGTCTAGATTAGAATCAATCTAGAATATAGATCTAGATTAGATAGAGATTTAGATCCTAGAGTGATTCTAATCTACTATATCTAGGATCTATCTCTTTCTCTAGAAGAGTAGTATAGAAGTATAGATCTAGAATCTATTTTATATTATATCTAGTCTAGAAATCTAGATCTAGAAATGAGATCAAATTCTAGATCTAGATTCTCTAGATCTAGAAGTAAGAAGAGATCCAGATTTCTAGACTAGATTCTCTAGACTAGTCTAGACTCTAGATTTAATGAATAGTTTAAATTAGAAACTTTTTACCGTTGTATTATTGTATTTTTAATTTCATTTGTTGGCATTTTCATAACTTGTGACAGAAATTCCACAACTAGACTTAGTCTAGTCTAAATTTCTGCGTTAACAGCGTCTTTTAAATTTAAAATACCTAGATCTAGATCTAGATAGATTCTACAATTCTATATATAGATTCTACAATATAAATCTAGAAAAATATTCTAGATCTAGATATTGAACCTAGAAACTAGACCCATGATAAATGTTTCAATCTCAAAACATGTGTTCGTAATAACAATAATTCCAGCACTAGAATCACTGAAATCTTAGCCAGAATTTTGAACATTAATTTTTCTAACTGGTTTAAACAAGATAAACTGCTGGATTCTATATCATCTATGTCTACATACGTTATAATCGGACTACTTTGACTTCAATATTTTTTAAACGTATTTAGATCTAATTAGAACAATATATACATAAAATCTAAGCGAAAAGGTTAGAGTCTACAATTTCAAAAGTTGGCCTTATTTTTCTTAACTGCTTGGTCACGCCTACTATGAATGAATCCATTGTTGTTTTGCTGCACGGGATGGCATGATTAAAATAGAACCAATCAGCTTTTGCTTCCTTTTCCCTTTAACCTTTACAATTTGAATTCGACATTAGCCTAGCCCTACTAAAAACATTAAGTTTAGGCCTATGCCCCTTCTAACGCTAAACCTGGTTTAGTTTTAGATCTAGATTCTAGACAAGTACGATTATAATTATTTTAAAATTAAACAATTTCAAAAGAGCAAAAGTAATAGATCTATACTGATAAATGTTTAACTATTTTTTTTTTAAACAAGCATCAGACTTAGATTTCTATGACCTACTTTGTTATTCGAAGTTTTAATAATGACCCTGTTTCGATGCTGAACACAATTACACGCAATCGCTTCAAGATGAATATCACAAGGCTGTGGACTTAAGCCTAAGACAGAGGCGTAGCGAAGGGGGGGGGGGGGGGGCAGGGGGGTACATACGTCCCCGGGCGCCGACCTTAGGGGGCGCCAAAATGGGTTGGAAAAACAAATAAAAATCTCATTTTAGCTGCATGTTTGCTTTATAAATATAAAAAAATATATGAGGGGGGGGGGGGTGCAAATAGAAAGTTGAAAGATTGATCCCGAAAGGGGCGCCAAAATAAAAGTTTGTCCCCGGGCGCCGGGTAGGGTCGCTACGCCTCTGGCCTAAGGACTGGAATAGCATGCACATGCATATATTATTTAAAAAAAAAACAATATCTAAAACAATTTAACTTCAAAACCTTCCCAATAATTTCCGACACAATGTTTTAAGGGAAGTATTTATTGTAGTTCAAAATCTTCGGAAAGAAGACCTAAAGTTTAAAATGACTTTAGATTTAATGTATTTCTTATCAGCCACCTTTGATTTAAGTTTCTAAGTAGCCTAAAATTAATCTCGCTTTATGCGCGCAGGTGCGTAAGCTCCTATTTAGTAGACTTTACGTTCTTTCAAGTGTTATGTTTTCTATGAGCATGGTTTCACATGAACAAAGCTAGGTTACACCGCTCTCTATGGAGTATATACTAGCGACGGGTCTAAAAGGTTACTTATTGAATCAATGTATTGAAAACGTCGCCGGTGAATTTCTCGAACGGCTATAGATCTACAACTTGATAAAGTAGAAAAGTATGTTGGCTACTTTTCTTTGTTAGTTATACATCTACCTTCGTTACATATTTGTATGATTACTGTTACATTCAGGGGCGTAGCCAGGATTTTTGTCGTGGGGGTTGTTACAGGGTTACACCTACGCACCCTCAGAGCAACGCCACAAGGGTTGGCCTGAGGTGCGGTTCGCACCGGG